TTATACGCGTCTTAATTATTATAAGTAATTGTACGTTGTCCAGAATAAAATTACGGGTGTTTAGAGCTTCAAGAAAACTGGGTTACTCGTGTGCGGAATGGAGCGATCGAAAAATTGGTGAATTTGTTTTCGAACACCGTGCGCGTTTCTAAATCAAATATTTCGTTTGGCAAACCTAGCTGCAATACTGTTTGTAGTTAATTATCGTCGGTAAAATGGTCGATGCAATTGGATAAACTTCTGTCCGCGGTTACGAGACAGATTCTGCCCCGAGCATTAAAGTATAATAAGGTTTCATTGTCAGGACAGGGCGTTGAATAATTAAATACGACGTGTTGTTGAATAGACATATTTGATATAATCTCGACTACGTTATCCGCCGTGATTAAGGAAATGAATACATGCAAAGAAGTATTAATACTCGCAGTTCCAAGTTAAAGTGCCATTTCTTCCTTTAATAAACGTGAAATGTTCCCGAAACGATAAATTGATTAAATTATTGATATGCTTCCAAGACAGAATGAAATAAAAGGTTAGGTCTCAACGAGCTAAATAGAACAAATGTTTCACATTTCGTTTCGGGTCCTTGCTTAAAAATGAAATTGTATTAATACGAATCTATGAAAAGAGAAGAATATAAAAATAATTATCGTGATTATGATTAAAAAATTACAATATGGAAAGCGAGAATTACGATATCTCGCTTTATTTAATTTTATCATAATTAAATCATTATTCGATCGATTTAATTGATTTACAATTTCTTTATAAAAATGTGTTTTTTTTTTTTAAATTTTTTTCGCGATACTCCGATACTTGTAACGGAAGAATCGCGAACGATTGGTAACCAAATTTACGTCAGGACTAGATACATCTTTTATTCTTACACGCAAGCATGAATCATTTATCAATTTCTGTCCACCTTTTTCTGAATCCCGTACACCATTTGCATTTATATGGAACGTTACATTCAATACTTTTTGTGGAACGTAATCTATTATAACGAGCGTACATCTTTCTCTTTTTACCCCACCCCCTCATCGTTCCTCTTTTCTTTCCACCAAGGGACTTATTATCGAGGGGCGTTCTTGGGAAGGATAATTATTATGTTCCCGACGTTCTTGGACATTAGCAATTTCTTGCTCTGTTCCTATCTCCCAGACCCTAAATCGCGTTTAATTATACCGACTAAACATTAAAGGCCACCTAATTACGATGCCCCCTGACAGGGGTTGTACTTATGGAACGATCTTTCGAATATTTTAAGGGAGTCAAAGGGCCGAAACGAGCCTTTTCGAAGCGATCTTTGACAATTTTCTCTTTGGCAAATTCAATTCGCGACTAGATTGATTTATAAACTAACTTTGAATTTTGGTTCGTACAAAGAAAAAGTATAGTTTTTTACTATTCTCTAATTTGCTATATTCGATCCGTGGACACAAGATACCTCGAAAGGAATATCTCTGATATTTTTCGCAAATAACGTGTGTTTTGATACCTGAGGAAGTAAAAAAAAGCTCAGGATATATCTCTATAAACTTTATAGCTACTAAGCCTTCAAACCTCCGTATCTGTGGCCATTTTACGAACGTCGCTTTTATATTTTACCGCCATATTTCCAAGACTCTAAACTTTAAGAAAATGTAATAATCTAACAATCGATTTTCTAAATCCCATAGACCAGAATAGTCTTTAATATTTGAATTAAATTGAATTTTCCTTGTCGAGTGTCGGGAGTTAGGTGCCTGAATTTTCCGGCGAAATTGAAAAATTTTAAATCATTCTGGAAAAATTATTTTCAATTGCAGAGGTCAATCACAATCATTTTTGGTCAATACATATATCCCCGTAATCCTACTCACTTTCGAGAAAAAAATTCATTACTAAAGACATAATCTCTGGCCTGACATTTCATGCGTATGTTTAAAATATCATAACTCCTGAACGGATTGGAGGATTTTAAAGTTTTAAAATGCAAACAACGCGTATTTTAGTGTAGAATATGTACAAATTCTAAGAATGTTGGAAAAGTTGTGTCTTAACCACGTAAAATGAGAAAATCACGTAAAAGTGGTCTACTTTTCAAACGATCATAACTACTATATTTCAATGAAATTTATTTATGAAGTAGAGCTCATGGATACTTATAAAGAAGTATTATACATTTCCACACGCCATCAAACAAATTGATTAAAAATCAGAAACGAATTTTTAAGAAATATCGACAGGGGTTATGTGCTTTTATTTCCAAGAGTTGAAATAATGGCGGACACGGCAGTCCTCACGTATATAGTGCGAATTAATAGGTCGTCAATAAAAGAATTAAACGTGTCCGGTTAGCCAATATCGAATGTAAGTAAGCAAGGATTTAGAGCAGCAGTCATCCATTTGATATCGTTAATTCTTAGCGATGCAACGACAAGTTCAATTTATTTCAGCTCGAAATTAAATTATTTGGATTTCACAAAGAAACGCGTGCGGATGACAGTTTTATAATTGCACCGCGTGAATTATTTTCCTGCGATTTCGTTCAAGTATATACGAACGTGCGCGAGAAAAATATTTGTTCGTTCTAATATTTCCAACGGGCGCAAATTATTAACGTCCGTGGCCATCGAGCGCGACTCCTTAATTAGAAATGTTCATTTTTCGTACATTTCTAAATTATTTTATTAGAAATATAATTAGAAAATTAGAATTAAATATTTCATTTTAATCTTCGGATTGCCGTACCAGAAATAGTTTGTTTGTCGAAATTACGCTTCTACTTTAATATTTTATTTCTTCTTTTAATCTTAACCAGCTCTACTTATTATACAGGGTGTTCGACTATCCCTGGGATAATTTTGATGGGAGATTCTAGAGGCCAAAATAAGATGTAAATCAAAAATATCAATTTCTTGTCTGAGGCTTAGTTAAAAGGTTATTAAAAAATTTTAAATCATTCTGAAAAAATCATTTTTGGTTTCGGGGGTCAATTATAATCATTTTTGGTGAATAGACATACCCCCGAAATCCTACCCACATTCTAGAAAAAAATCGAGAAGGTATGAAATTTTTCGACAAAATTAAGAAATTTCAAATTGTTCTAAAAAAATTATTTTTGGTTGTGGGGGTCAATTGCAATCATTTTTGGTGAATACAGATACCTACGAATTTCTACTCACTTACGAGAAAAAAATTCGAGAAGTTATGAAATTCTTCAACAAAATTAAAAAATTTCAAATCGTTCTAAAAAAATTATTTTTGGTTGCATGGGTCAATTACAATCATTTTTTGTCAATACACATACCCACGAATTCCTGCAGATTTTTTAGAAAAAAATTCAATACTGGCGGAACTTTAAACGTTAATAACTTTTTAACATGGCCTCCATCAACAAATTGGTATTCTTGATTTTCGTCCTATTTTGGCCTCTAGAATCTCCCATTACAATTTTTCCCAGGGGTGGCCGAACACCCTGTGTTTATATCGGCTGCGAGAAGGGAGTGAATGAATTCTAAGAATGCACCCCGTGATCAGGGTGCTTGGTAGCACGTGACACGAGCGTGTCGAAAGTTTAAAACTGCAGTATGGTCGGAAAATCGACAGAGTTTTCATGATAAGTTCGCGAAAGTTTGCGAGACACAAAGTTCGCAAGGGAATTGTCGGAATCGAAGTCTATTTTAAGCGAGCTAAATATATTGTTATTTTAGAAAGAGTTCTCTACGCAATTAAATAAAACTTATTAATATTCTTCTGATTAAATAAATGAATTTGTCTAAACACTTTTTACGTAGCTGAGTAATACACATTTCATATTTTAACTTTTACCCTGCCTTTTAACCTTTTATAGTTTTGATTTCCTCGATGTTCGAGCAAATAGGTTTCGTACTAATTGCTACTGTTGCCTTAAAAGCGCCGATTATCTCTTCGCGACGGTCCCTTGCGAGTTATTATTTAAGCAGCATGTAACCGTATCCCACTCTGGTCTCCGTTTCATACTCTCGACCCCGAGTGGTGGTTCGTGGAACAGAATCAGTTCCATGTCCATCCAGAGAGTCCCAAGCGAGCAACAGAAATATGGGCATTATTGCACTACAGTCGTCTAACATAGGATGCAGAGATATTTCACCATTGACGATAGAATAGAAATTGGACAATTAACCCAGCGTTTTACAAAATGGAAAATGCAACTCTCAGAGAGAGAGAGAGAGACGTTCAACCTGAAATATTCAGTTGCAAATCATTCCAACCCTCGTATTTAAGAGATCTCACTGTCACAAGATAGCGAAACTGTATCTAAAGTATAATTAGCGTACTTACCTTATTGATCAATTATCCGGGAAAGCTCCAGGAACGTACAAAGGCCTCGAAAGTTTTCGCTGGGAAAACTTCAAGAACAGTTTCAACGAGTATCCGTTACACATGCTCCTTATTTCGTAAGATCCTGTCAGAAGTAGTTTACACCCTGTTCGCGCGGTATGAAAAACAGCCTCGGAGATCGTGTTCTCCCTCAGAGAGCCTAAGGTATCTTTTGATCAGCCCGGTGAAACGAATAACGACGATGAAACGAGGCGCCAAACAAAGGTAAAACTAATTCTGACAGTAATTATCGAGGCTCGAGCGTCGATCTCATTCGCTTAATACGCATTTTAACTTAGAAATATTATTTCCATAATTGTTTTAATATTCTAAGGTTTCAATTTTGTTTGATTTTTGTATTTTATATACCGACTATATAAGATTTTAGACGTTAGATGTTTTCCTTCCGCTTTTTAGGTGCAACTGCCCCAGTTTTTGTCGGTCGACGGAGGGCCAAGTTACGATTGAGTCGAATTGGGCTGTAAAACCGGCCGTATTCTCTGAATTTCGTTCTAAGGTCCCATAGTAGAATAACCCCCGTTAGGAAAGTTGTCTCGTATAACTATAAGTACGATTTGTGCGAACGAACGTATTTCGTTAGATGGTAATTTTGATCGTGAGTGACCGTTATCCTTTTATCATTGTTTGTCCGACAGTTTCACCGGATATCGTTTCCGGGGGTGATACCAGCGCCGACTTGGCAGTCTCGGAATGCGACAACGCGACTCTGAGCTGCAGTGCGACGGGAAGACCAACCCCAAGAGTGTCCTGGCGAAGGGAAGACGGAGAACCCATTCTTATAAGGGCCTCTTCTGCCGGTACATAATGACACTATAAAACTCGTGGATATCTCCGCGGACAGACCTCTTTCACTCGCTGCTTCGTAAAAAAGGCGGAGAGACGACGGCGGTGGTTTAATTTCGTTTGCTACCCGTTACTGCCTTTGTTCGTGTCCCCGTCACCACCCCCTCAGTTTTTCTCCTTCACTTACGCCGCCGTGCTACGCGAACGGAGCTTTATTACAATACTTATAACCAGTAATCGCTGCTTTGATGCTTTATGTCGCTGGACGTCGATAGCGGAATGTGATATGACCAGCATCTGTGATTTCTTCTACGTTATTCTTTTCATTTTGCACGGCAGTTGCGTAACAAAGAATACTGTACCAACAAAAAAACGTATCGTTTATGGTAATGTAGAAATTCTCACGAAGAAAAAAAAAGAATTTCTCCTCGTCGATTCCCGTATGCTTCTTTATGTAATTTAACCGTGAATTTTAATCTTTTCCAACGGTGGTTTGGCGCCAGATTTCAAGTCGAATCGGTTCACAATTTTTACATAAATCATTTTACTCGTTGTTCCCATAATTTTTAATTTTTACTCTGCAATCTATTAATTAATTTACTGTGTTTCGCCTTTTATAAAGTAACAAGGTATTTTACAATTCGTGGAAAAGGATACTTGTAATACTATTCTACCAAATAAATGCGACAAGAGTTTTTGCTCTTTTCGAACCGATTGGATAGACTCGGAGTACAAACAATTTAAATCCATTGATTTTAAAGAGCTATCCGAATTATATTATTTAACATCAACGAGATCTCGACCTCTGTTTTTCGACACTCGAAAATTACACGTAAATTGATGACGATCAAATTACCTTATTTAAAGACGCGTAACCTGACATTTTTAATAGCTTTTCGAAATTAAATAAAAGAGAAACTGTCTAATATTATTTCGCGAGAACACCTTTTGTTAAACATTTCACATAGATTTATACATTACTCGATTTATTGTTTCATTCATTCGTGTGAGTAAGACTCCAAGTCTAAGACGTTTTGTATGTTTTTTAATCTATCTATTTAGACATTTAAATTTCACACTAAATAACAATTTAAAGTGCCCAAAGGTCAAACCATAAAAAGCATCGATTGAAAATATTCTCAAACAGCTTGAGTTTCACGATTGCGTCGAAAGCAAAAAATTCGTACAAAAAAAAACGAGGATCGATTCATTTTTTTTTTCTGGATCATGCACCGGAATCGAAAACCGCGTGAAAACGAGAATTGAGTGTACTTAAAATCGTACGTTTCCAGTAGTACTTTACGCTCTTAATATCGAAACTGTGTACCAACGTTTGCTGTCGCGCTGAATATTACCTCCTATTTTAGTTGTCCCGCTTTGCCACGTGTTATTTTACGAAATTCTATATTCGAACATATGGCTTTATAAACTTGTAACAATAATATTTTCACCGTCAAAGTGTGAAATATTTTCAGGTCAGCCCCCGTAATATTACGTTATTTATCTGCACGTATTTAATAATACCCGTCCGCCGTACCGTGTATCGCAATATACACTTTAATAGTAAATTTACAGCATTCTACGAGCACTCGCTGTTGAAGAATCTGTACGTTCTATTCGCTCGAAACTTTTACGCCCTTCAGGTAGGTAATTGCTTTTTCCATTATACAGCAGTAAACCTTTGGTACGTAACTGGTAATTAGTAGTACTAATTTTTTTTTCTCAAGATAAATTTTATTGATTTCGTATTCATAGATATGTGTGTTTACGTTGGCATAGATTCAACGAAGGCTGATTGTTAATTTCACTTGTTCACTTTAGGGCACGTGCTTGTGACAATATAGATGTCAAATGTAAAAGAAATACACCATAAATGCTAAAATATATTTACGAAAATATTCCTATGATTATTCTTTAATCTTCGTTTAAAATATTTGCAATGAAGTTAAATAATTGGTCTAATCTTTTTTAAGAAAGTACCAGTTCTATAAAAATTGCAAACACCCTTAAACGACGAAAAATTGTAATTTCATTCATAAAGTTGAAGACTCGAAGGTAAGGCAAACGTCGTATGGTTAAAGTTGAATGGTAGTTTTCGTTAGTACAAACATAGGTTGTCTGTACATGTGTATGATCCGTCGTTAATTAATGCTAGATGGTATGCATGTCGTTCAAAGTTTAACTACCGGGTTGTTCGTTGTCGTAACTACCAAAGAATATTCGCTATTCACCGCTATATGACCCTACATTAATTCGGTATTAATAGGGTAATTAGGCGGCCCTAATATCCTAGTTATGTTGAAGTTCTCTTCGCGTAAAGAGGAGGGATTTACTATAATAATATGGCTCCACGGGCCAGGACGTAATTCATAGCAGAACCGACAAGGAAACGAGCCCGCTGGAAAGGAGCATGTCGAAAGTCTGGATTAAAATTCCATCGTACGAATTTCGCTTCCGTGGAAGTCGAGCTCCTACGAATCGGGACGCCTTGAAATCTTATTCATCGGACGCTTGTTCCCATAAAAGATCGCGAATGGCGATTGGAACCATCTTTTCGCGGTCGGACGTTTGCAAAAGCATCGAATCACTTCCCCGCAGAGTTCTTTTTTCTTCGTTTCCGAGGTCACGACTGATCAAAATATGTAGCTCCATTTTAAGATACAGTATTTCGAAACAGTGTAGCGAAAGAAAGTGGAGTCTCGATTTAATGCAACTTCGACGATCAAACGAGAGCCTCGTTTCTTGCACTGGTCTTAGAAAAATCGTGAAATCGATTGGGGAAAATAAAATGAAATTCGCCAGTTTGAAATGTAGGTCGAATCTTTCGTTAAAATGAAAACTGTACAGCGAGGAAACTACTCGTTGGTATATCGCAGTAGTGCTTAAAGGCGCGTTACTATGTTACGTTCCGTTTCTTTTCTTGCCCGGCCGTGGATTAAATAATTGCATAGTATCCACTTTACACAAAACAGAAGCATGAAAGCTGCGAAATTCCTGCGGTTCTGATATAATTAGTGTTGTAAAATCCACTTACAGCGTTACGGGAAAATATGATTTCCACCCTCCGTCGCATCGAATGAAAGAAACGTTCGTACCGGAATTGCGTCAGTGGAAAAGCGCTCGGAAAAATTTCTTCTTTTTTTTTTTCTTTTTTCTTAACGTAACATGTGAAAGTTTCGTTTACATAGTCCCGTCACGTTTCTTTTTATATTTCAGGGATTTTTCATACCGCGTCTATTAACCTTATTCCGTTAATTAACTAGGAAGGGAGCCTTCGTATTCTGTACGCGAGATTTGCAACATTTCTACAAAGACGGGCTCGCATAAAATTTCAGTCGCTGTTTACCGAAGCGAGCTACGTAATTGTAACATTTGTTCACCGTAAAATTTCGGGCGGGGTACGATTGTGTGCGCGTTGCATTTACATTTACACGTTACAGAATTTCCACGCTTGAAACATAGTTTCGGCGCATTCTGTACGATAAAGTTGGATTTAAATGTATGGAAATATTAATCTCGTCCATCGTTGTTTTACCCGCCAGCTCTCGCGGTCGACGCCTGTTGTTCTCGGCGTACACAAGAATATCAAATTAAAAAGAAAATAATAATATTCGTTTCACCGGTGAAACGTTGTTTGTCAAATGTATTCCAAAGAAGGAACAATCGTGTCGCGAAAATATCAAATAAAACGGTACTGTTGGACTGTCCAGAAGAAAATTATATTTACTAAATAAAAACTTACTCTGTTCGGGACTAAATTCATTATAATGAAATAAATTCGTTGATCGTTAATCGTTCGTAGTCTACAACGAATTATCTACTAATTTTTCCATCAATCTTTCATAAAAGTTCATTGATTTTTTATGAAAAGAATTCAATCGAGCACGTTCTGACTGCACCGTCAATACTTCTGAACTCCATTCCGGAGAAGTGGTTTTGCAAACTTCTGAATAAGTAATAATACGATGAGGACACGTCGGAGGAGCAAGGAAAGTGAATTTTTAGATGAGAAATTTTTTGTACCGTGGAATTCACTGCTCGCGGCCGGGCGTTATCGCGACGAAAGAAAATACGTTTTCTGTTAAATAAATTAGGTCGATTGTGGTCCACGATCGTTCCAGTTACCGATCGATCGAGCTTCCGCAGCCGTGAAATGGATTTTTCTTTCCGCGTCCAACCGCACGCGGGGACAATATTTTCCGTGGATGTGAACCCCGGTTTCACCGGTTGTTCCGCGCGAAATCATTTTACTAGTGACTTTCCACGCACAGATATGAGTTTGTTGTACGTTTGATATAATATACAACGTAGTACAATGAAGTCATATCAATGAATCGAACCCAAATAACTTTCATTTTCGTTTCCCAAAAGAAAAAGGTGCGGAGGATCGTGGTCGATAAAATTGGTTACGTTAATTCGATTGGCAGGTAAAAGTTAATCCCTTTCGCTATCGATAATACGTGTACCGTAGGTTACCAAGGCTGGGAGAGAGTGGAAAGTCAAGAGCCGTGAAATTTTCGGACGTGAGCACACAGATTGGGCGTAAGAACACGGGTAGAGTGGGTATAACGAGGCGGGTCGTTGAAACAAGTTTCACCTTTTGAACTCGAAGACAGGAATAGCGGGTGCGCCGTGTAAAGAAACAGAGGATGAGAATTCTCTTCATGGTATCTTGCGTTCACGCACACAACCGCGACGGGACTTAAGGCCGTGTACGTATGACCGTAGCGACACGTGGTACCAACCGCCGGGGCTTACACTCAGAAAACCAAGGGAGGAAGTACACCGGAGCACGCTGTTACGCTGCAACTGTGTTTGCACGTACATCGCGGGTAACAGGGTGGTGTAGTTTCTGCTGCAGAGGCCCGGAGTTGGCAAAACTTTGGTCGACGTAGTTGCGCCGCCGCGCGCATACGCCCCCCTCGCCTCACCCTCCCTTCGTACTCTCAGATGCGGCTGAAACGCTCAAAGCTGAGCGTATTTGTCTTTTTGAATGTAGGTATTTTTCCTCGTCCGTGGTAGTTAACGATTGTCGTCGCCGGAGACCGCCATTAAGATTTACTTGAATACACGAGTAGACGTGTCCGTGCTCGAGGATTAATGGGGCGAACGTGAGTGTGGTTTCATTAGAATGATTAATCGCGGTTCTTTAACGGTACAATGGCGCTTCGATCAACCGTTCCGTGTTATAGCAGATAATTATTTACGAAAACTTGCTTCTCCATCGACGACCTTGCTGACAGAGACGATCACTGCCTCTCGAATTGACTCCACGAAATCGAAACCTTGTTTTTGAACATTTTAGAACTATCCACAATTTGAGTTGATCTTTTTAGGTGTTTAGAAATTGCTACCTTCTCCGATATCGTTATTCGGTTACTCGAGTCTCCGATTCTCGCACCCGTTCTGTTCCGTGATCGAGGCTGCTCTTTTTCCCTGCACTTCCTGGCCCTGTTCTAATAAAGCTTTGGATGTTCCGGTATGCCTGTCCCCGATGTACGTTTTATATTCCGAGCCGTGCAACTCCTCAGCGCTCGCAAACATTTCGAGCACGCCGTCTATCTCTATTTTCCCCGGCACTTTCGCCGTGATTGTGGTCTGTATCTCGGCCAATTTTTGGAATATTGCCATCAGACTTACCGAACATATTCCCCGGATATCAAGCTGTAAAATTAAGCAATAGAAAAAGTAATCGGATCTTCGAACGCTCGAAAAGCGCCCGACGTTTCCGTAAATTTAATTCCGCGTTACGATAACCGTTAGTCCTTTGTTTTTATCTCGTAAATTATAATCAACGTTCTTTGTATCGTTAAGAATTCTCGTATCTTGGCAGTTTCGGTGGAATTTAATAACGGGTCCATCGTTGAACTCGATCGAATGATGCGACGGTGAATCGTTTTAGAAACAATGAACATTATTTATAAACAAGCGCATCGTATAACATAATCTCGTAATACCACAGCTTTGATGCATCGAACAATAGAGATCTCGGATAATAGAACCGCGGATAATCGAGGTACCGTTAAATCGAATTCCCGTTAATCGAGGTGCACTCGTGCTTACCTGGAAAATAATATGAGATTCGTTGTTCCTCAACAGTATCCGTGGCGTTTAAAGAATGCATGTAAACACTTAAAATTCACGCGCTAAAACGACTAAAAAGTGCTACGAACGAGTAAAGAAAATGCTCCTCAAACAGTCCTCAAATAATAGCCAAAACACCCTCTCAAACAAAAATTATTTTGACATCTAGAATCACCTAAAATATAGCTCGCCCAGGTAAACACGCTTTAAAAGACAAACTTTATACAACGAAGAAAGTTTATTTCCATCGTGGATAATTATGCGTTTCTTCAAAGTTTAATGAAAACGTGATTTAAATAATTTGACTCTGACGAAGGTGAAAGTAACTTTCGAAGGATTCAGGTTACAAATTTCCTTTGTCGCGCAAAAACAATTGTAAAGCGTCCCGCTAATCGAAAGTGGCGTAACCTGACTGCCAATAAGCAAGAATTAGCAAAGTGTAAATTGTGCAGGGTTTCTTGCAAACGCTGTCTATATCGGTGCGTTTCTTTTGAAGCCTGAAAACCATCTCTCGCATGCATCTTCCGTTACTGTTCCAACCGACGATAGCGCTTTTCTTACGAGCTTTGCAAACTCGTTAGCGTTCGCTCACTTAAGGAACTCGTTAGCTACCTAAGTAGTGAATTAAGCATATATCTTCTCATCTTTTCTTTCGCTTACAACGTTGTGTGCATCGAGCTTTCGACTTTCTCCATCCCACTTCCCTCCCCTTTCCCCGGCCCCCTCTGTTCGGTTCTCCCTTGTTTCACGCGCGGCGTGCCTTCGCTTTCCCCATTCTACTTCGAAGGCAGTTTCTTCGTTCAATCGCATTAGTCTGCGGTTTCGACCTGGTTAAAAGTTCCACCGTGGATTCGTTTAGATCGGAGCCCCGTCCACGAAAGTTGTAACTTCTTGTCCCGAGATATGTTCTTCCCATTTCGTCACCCTCCGTAGGCAATCTTTTATCCTGCGCCGCTGCTACGGCTTGCCACTCGAGCGCTCTCGGCTTGCGTTGCTTTCATTTAATAATTCTATTTTCACTTGTTGCCTACCGCGCGTGGAACGCTCGAGAAATGTATCCAATTTCGAAAACTGACGTCCCTGAACCGATTTAACGACCCCGCGCAGCACTGGCTCCCCAACGTTTTCAACTACACCCCCTCCGAAGGAAAGAATTTACGCGCGGCTGGGATTTTTATAGACAACAAACAACGAAATTCGATTTCATTCAAAAATATTTCACGGGTATGAAAACGATAAAATACATTTTAAATTTGATACATCTTCGTATTCACGTTCCTTGTTTCCAGTCACGTGATTGAAGCAAAGCTAGGGATAATTTTAAAATGCGCCGGATCGATTGCATGATGCCGGGAGCACTTCCGACGATTAAATATTTCACGGTAGACAATTTGTAGCACCATCTGAGGTAATTTCCATTAACTGGCACGTGACAATGAATAATTGAATGTGTTTCAGTTACTGTAAATAGTTGAGCCAGCTATCGTGTGTGCATTAACGTCACATCCAGATCTTCAAAGCTAATTACTCGTTCAATCTAAAGTAACTTGTTGCGCTAAATGACGTTGAAAATAACGGGGAATATGAATGAACGGCCTAATTTGATCGTCCATCCGGTTGACTTCTCTCTGCTTGAAATTAATGAGACTGAGACTTGTTTACGTTGCTCGTGCCTCCAGCGAACGATACCGGTGCAATTAAAAACTAATTGTAAAGTACGGTAGATTCGAAGTACAATTTAGAAAGTTCTTCGCGGTTTCGAGTATAATTCAAGCCGTTACACGATGTTGTTCGGTATCAGAGCCAAGAGAAATTCGAGCAGGCTTTAAACCTTAAACTTTAATGCTGACCTTTACGTAGAATCTGTTTAGTGAAGTTAAAATATTCGTCATTGATCTGTGGTGAGACTCGAATTTATCCCATTCTCGTACATCTTGTGTTATCTTGAATTTTTCAAAATCGCGCGAAAGAAGATTGAAAAATATATTTGGATGCTCGATCCACCCCCGTAGCATGGCTTTTGGGCGTTCGACTTGCAAGAAAATATCTAAGATAGAATACGTTTTCTCTGCACACAGGTGGTAGCACTTTCGAGAAGTACGACACCTACAACGGTTCGCTGCTGCAATTCCATCGCGTCGAGAGGCGACAAATGGGGGCATATCTCTGCATCGCCAGCAACGACGTGCCGCCCGCAGTTAGCAAGCGAGTGACACTCGCCGTGAATTGTAAGCTCGTTTCCCTCCTAATCCCTGATTGTATCCAGCAGAAAGGCTCCCGTCGACGACAAAACGCGACGGTATCCGTCGTTGACGTAACACTACGCTCCACGGTGACGAATCGCTACGGCCGTTGACGCGGCCGCCCGGCTTTTACGGTCTCTGTCGTTGTCGGTGAACCGCCAAGATCGAGCCAGTTTTCACCGAGCATTCCAGCAACCAGCGACTTACGATTTACTTTCAAAGTTCCCGCGAAATTCTCTTTCGAAAAAGGATCAAATAATTTAAGTAGATATTTTACATCAACGCGTTTGTTAACCGTGCTTGGGTCTACTCTGACCCACGAAAGCCTCGTCGCAGCGCTCGACTCCGCGATGTAGGTCGAAACCGTCAAAAGCATATGCACGTGTACGTAATTCCTCAAACCAGTACATCGCCGGTTTGCTCGAATTACCAACAAATTTAAAATTCCTTTTAATTAATGCTTAAGCGTTCTTCATGTTTTAATTTAACGTTAAAGCTCAGGTGCACGTGTATCGTCCAAAGTATGACTCTACTTTGAAGATGAGAGCATCGTCGTGTATAAGACGCTTTGCTTGCTGGGCCGATTTTAGCCTAGATTCGAGCGTCGTTCGAGAATTTTCCCCGGATGGCGTTTATCTTGTTGCTCGAGTCACGAGTTATAAAATTAATTTTACGTCGCAGTGATGCATAGTCGTGCTTTAGAAAATAAATTCGTGCCTAATTTTTAACGTTAAATATCTCGAAAACTATCATCAGTTTCTATATTTTTCGTTCTCTTCCATTTTGCATTTTTTTGTTACAATATACTGTGCTCTTATTCTGTCAGAGTATCACATTCTGATAGAGACACACGATAGATAATCGTGGTAATTGTTTCAACAAGAGTTTCGATACTATTGTTGCAAGAGTTTCTTAACGACCCAATGTTTCAAAGAGCATCGCGTCGCGAAAGCTCGTTCAAAAGTGAGAGTTACACCCGGGAAGTTCCCTTTGTAAGTCGAAAACAATCGATCGATCTATTACCATGAATTAAAGCGATTTGGGTGGAAAGAGATAGCGGGAGAGTAGACGCTGTGTCCTTTCCGCGATCCGGCGGACCGATGTCAGCGTGCTAGATCTCATTTTCGGAAGAACCACTCGAGCTCGTGCTCGTGTCTTCGCTTCGTCGCGTCGCGATGCAACGAAAGAGATTTTAGATTACTTATCGGCCGCAATCGCGGCGAATTAAAGCGAACGATGGAGAAAAAGCGCAGCAGGTTGTTCGCGAATTTATCGCTCGGCGCAATAACGTTTATACCCGAGACAGAAACGCTTTCGTACCTTTAACCGCGAACAATAGACGGCGGAATAGAATGGAAACTTGGTCTGAATTTTAACAATGCTTGGGAAAAGATAATTGATTGGAATACACATCGGCAAAGATTACGTCCACGGGAACGTTGGGAGCCTTTCTGACGAGATATCAGGCTTCGACCAGGTGCAGGAATATTTAATTCATTCAGTAACTTCGTTTGCTCTGACGAAACAAGTAGAAATTCGCGAAAGCATATTGGAAACTCGAGATTCAGATCATTTTAAACATTTCCAATTTTTTTGTCTGACTCTAACAGCTAGTTTTTACTAGTTTCAACTATTTCAGACACGTAGTATCTTAGAAATTAAATATTTGTAAGTGAATTTATAAAAAGCTAAAAATGTGAAAGGAATTTTACGGAAGCCGTCAATTTGACGGATATCTGGTTCCATATTTAAAATTGCAAAACGCGTAAATATTATTCTTTAACAACTTATGTTGAATTTGATTGATGCAATGGCATTAATACATATTCTAATTAAAAGAAAAATCGTATTTTAATTCATCATTAAGCAAAATTATTTGAACATGGTGAAACGTTGGAAGATAATTGTATTCTTAAATTTTGCAAATACTTCCCTAAAAATTGACACGAAAACTTCGCGGATGTTGCACGTCAGATATTTATTTCATTATGTCACTGTACAGAATATTTCGATACTGTTGGGAGCCGCGTTCGTTCGAATATAAAATAATTTGTGTCGATCCGCAGCGATTTGCGTACATAACGATTAATCAGCATCAATTATTCGAACACAATAGATATTGGCTGAGAATTGATTACGGTCAGGTTCTCGTTTACGCATTACATATTTCATAGTTTTGTACCGGCACGCGGGAGCTAATAATCGCGCACGTCGCTCTATTTTAACAGTGGCCATACTTTTAACGACGCTGGCAAATGTAATACCAGAACCGGAAGTATTGATTTCCGAATGTGTATTCCAGCGGGGAAGCCTGTATGAAACTATAATCGTTATTACATGCCCGTTGAAATATTAATGCCCGGTGTTCCAAAAGTTGTCGAACTTTTCGAAGGAATAAAAAAACGTATTATACACTTCGCGAATTCGTAACAGCGAGTTCGACAAATCATAAATCGACTACAAAATAGTTTATCGTTCTGTCGGAATTTTAAAAAATATTAGAATGGGATTCGCGTGGATATTTTTTTTTCTGGTTATAAAAATCACGATACGCGTTTTACTCGTATCAACTTTTCCATCTAAATAAAAAGTTCGCTTTGGAATAACTTCGTAGAATACTCTAAATATTAAAAAAAAAACGACAGATAGTGCAACAATTATGAATTCTATTTAGAGACTACGATGAATGATAAGATTAGTTTGAAAATATCTAAGCCCTCTGTGAGGACAGATTTAATTTTTGAATCTACGCGAATCCCATCGTAATCCATAAATCGTTTAAATTGTTGTGTTTTAATCAACAAGCGGCATTGTATTTCTTTAGAATGTTGCCTGTTCAACGATAAAAATAGTGGAGTTGCGAAAACACGATTATATAAAGACAACGAGGGTAACGAGCCACATCAAGCTTCCGTTGACAAACAAACCTCGCGTGTTCGTAAATATGACGGTATCGACTAACAGCGAAACCGTATCCTCGCTGCTTTGGCTCTCCAGTCATTTTTCATTTATTCTATGAACTTGTCGTTTCAAGCTAAATCCTCTTTCCACGTTTCCAATGTTTTCATAAATGTGCAAAACATTTTCATCGATATTTTCTATATACAGGGTTCTTTCAACGGAAATGCAATATGACGGAAAATGGATGAAACTTGAAAGAAAACCGTAACATCCTCTATCCGTCTATGTTAACCTTAGAACATCCTAACAACCTAATATCTACAATTTTTTAAGAATTTATCGTGTGAGATATATTTCCAAAGAATGTTCTTTCCAAATTTTACCTTTATTATCATCAAATGAAAACGTAGGGATTTCCAAATAATTTTCCATCCCAAAATAGTATCGTTACAACTTAGCCAAAGGCAATCCCAGCACACGGGGGTTCTAAGGGTTAACTATTCACATACGCTCGTTAAAGTTCAAACATTTGCAACCGTTGGATTAATTGTTGCATTAAATCACACATACCCACTGTTGAGAAAACCGTGCACAGAGGATATGTAATTGCGACAAATTATAGGTGTCTATATTCTACGGGGCAGAACATTAATCAAAATCTTGGTGGACCGTGTGTATTGCGATAAATCGGGCAATTAATTTGAAACCGCTTTCACAGTTGCACCTGTCGTCAAAGCACCTAATCAGCTGTTGGGAGCACCTTTGGGCACGAACGTGCAGTTGGAGTGTTACGTCGAGGCATTTCCAAATACTGTTAATTACTGGGTGAAGAACCGACGAGGGTCAGAGGATGAATTGCTGATCGACGGGTGAGACAATCCCCAATCTTAATTTTAACCCTCGAACGGACGAAGCTTAATTTTTCCTATTGTATTTATCTTTCGTAAATATTACACAAATTATATAAATACATACGAGATTTCAACGAGGTCTAAACAAGTAACTGAACATTTTCTTTGGGATATAATTGAGAATAATTAATATCGTGGCTTTAATGTCGTTAGAGGACTAAAGTATCGTGTATCGAGTAGCGAAGTCTGACATTCCGCAAGCTTAGGGTCGAAACGATCGGAGTGGTAGTCGTACGAGGGTTAAATGTTGATCTGTTTCTCGATAGTTAGCGAGACTTATTGCCATTGGATTGCACAGGCAGAAGTATAACGTGCGAGAAGAACGATCCGGATACACAGTTCTGATGACGCTGTTAATCAAAGGATTTACCGAACAGGATACGGGCAGCTACAAATGCGTGTCGAAGAACAGTCTTGGGATGGCCGATGGCACTTTAAGGCTGTACGGTAAGTTCTGTGGAACCTCGTTAGGAAAGCACTTACGAGGGAAGTTCGACGACTGTTACGCTCCAAAAAGTCAGAACGAAGTCATGCTGCTAATATCAGTATAATTTCTTTATTCAAATCCATTCGTGAGGTCTTGATTGGACTTGAATTCTTCGTACGTGCATATTGAAAGTTTCGAAGATTAGAGAATCAGAGAATTCTTTTATAAAAAATTTATTAAAAATATTCACATTAGAGTTAGATGGCCTAGCCTTGTGCAACAGCTGCCGAAGTGCGTTTAATGGATTTCTGGGAACAAAATTTAATAGGAATCTTTATGATTCTATGAATGCATTCATTTATTTGAAGACCGACCGAAACTTTTAAGACCAATAGAAACTCCAAGACCTATCAAGACTTTAAGACCGATCAAGACTTTGAGGACCGTCTGGATTCGAATCTGACCTCAAAGATTCGAAGCAATTTGATCCAGTTTGAGCCCGCTACCACTGTCGAACCTCTCAGGAGGACGGGCGAGGGGGGTTTGTCTCATCACATTCTTCAACAGACTGACACACAAAGTTCGGAGCTCTGAATAGCACGTCCAGTTTCCAACAACGTTCGTACGAAATGTTTCTTTACGTTTCTCGCGGTTAAAGAGTCAGAACGAAAAACAGTTTCCAGAGAAATTTAACACGAAACGATAATCGCTTTAAACGGAGACCGCATCCGTAGTGGTCCAAGTCTATTTGCAAACATTGTTTCCGTCGATTACGCGAATGTTGATTATTCCAGTTAGTTTGTCGGTTAGCTTAGTTCGACAGCACAACAGATAGTTATCGGTGTTCCTGCAGCGCGAATAGGGATTTGAGAACGGTCAGTTTGAGAATGTCAACTAGCAGAGATGGGCTAACTTCTTGTTCGGATAAAAAATCTACACGTAGAGCTGGACCAGTATTTTAAAGAATGATAATTTGAGTGAAAGTTGCGACACGTTTTCGCGAGGGAAGCGGATTTTGAATATCATAATTATTATATTGTTCCTGTTACGGACCACGAAACGGAAGGAAGTTCGTAACAAATGATGATACGATTACTGTATTGACTGCAGTTACTACAAACCCAGGGCCCAGTATTCGGCAAATAGCAAGAGATAGCAGAATGAGTCGCAGTTCGGTCCATCGAATATTATAGCTACGCCAATATCGGCCGTACCACATTATCGTTGCATCAACAACTGCTAGAAACCGATTTGACGCGTTGAACTTGATTTTGTACTCGATCGAAGCGGCTAATTAACCGAGATGATTCCACCGCTGCTCGTGATTTTGTTTTACGGTTATTCTATAATTTCAGTGACTGATTTTCACCGTGGTCTGTTCACAGTAATTAAGATCGGCTTCGACGGAACGTCGCGTGGCAAGAATCAAGTGTCCATCATCGGTGGTAAGTGGAAATCATTCGCGTTCCGCTATAAAAGTACGAGAAGAACGATCGCCGGAGGATCGTAACGTCAGAAGACGAGTGGAAACGATAAACGTAAAATTGAATTGTTCGTTTAGGTTTAGCCGAGGCCGCACAAAGTTCAGGTGCTAACAACGGCAGCAGAGGGTTCATGGGATATAGCAACAAATTGTCGCATATCGTGTTGATGTTTCTCTTCATACCGGTGTTTCTCTGGCCGCGGTGAAGAAGGCATACGCTGTTGGTTACCGCTAAGCTGAGTGCCGGATAACTTTGTGCCAAAGGACAAGAATTGATGCGAGAATGCTTGTGTATGTATGCGTGTGTATGGAGAGATCCAGGTGTGCGCGTGATCGCGAACGTGCACGCGGGGAATGGAAGAGCGATCTTGCCTGTAAAGAGCAACGGGATCGTTTGAACGTGCGTATGAATGTTGAAACGGCGAACCAAAAAAAACGATACAAAACGAAGAGAAAAAATAAAATAAATCGGAGGCTCGCGTTCTCTACATCTTCCTATTTTCCCCTTCCCTACTTCCGAGTGTCGAAAACATTTTTAGATCAATGAATGTTGTCAATGTACGCGCCCGTTTAAATCCGTTTGGTTGGGCATCGATCGTCGGATCGACGCGCGACTGATAGAGACAAGAACCGGAAGCGCGCGAGCAGCTTGGCCCTTCCTAACGATGCTTGACAAGTCGTCAATAATATTAAGTCACGATCGTTTTGTCATTGGTATAAGCGTTACGGACGTTTAGATGTCAGGGAACTCGATGTTTCGAAATAAAAGTATGAGATCAAACGTTGTACGCTACCTGTCGTCAATCATTTCTACATCCCTCGTCATAAAATTCTTAAATATCAGTCGAATCAGAAGTATTAACTGATGACGATTTTCTAAAATTTCAGATAACGGCAATAGGAAGATTGCATCGATTATATTTGCAGATTAATCCACTACGAATGAAACTTCTTTGTAACGCGTTTAGTAGCTCATTCTTTGTCGATTGCATTAACCGTTGGAATGATTAAGCGTCGGAATCTGGGTTCCAATTCACCCTATCCACTTGGATTGGTTCCTGCTTCACCGAGGATGGGAGTTTCTTGGTCTCTTAGTTTCTGTTTGTCAGTATGGTAATTACAGTCGAAACTTGTGCACGTGTTCGTTCCTGCCGAGGAAGTTTTAAGTAGTACGAACGAGGTGCTGCGATCCTTTTGCAGTGCCATAACACGACAAATGTTACGGAGATATTAAACGTGTTGCCGAAACATTGCGGAAGACGAGTCCAAAACTACGAGGTAAGTGCGTACATTTTCAATAGTTGAAAATCAAAGTATAATGGTCCATGAAGAACAAACGAAAACTTGCAATAGAGTCACATATGCAAATAATTTTAATCTGAGAAATAGTTTTTGAGTGCTATTAAACTAGAATCACTAAATAAAAAATTAACGAAATTTAAACAAGCAATAGTCTTCTTTAACATGGGAATGCATGTGACTCAAACCCTTTGCCCCCCTCTGTGGCCATCAATGATGCCATATGCGGCCAGCTACGCTCCAGGAGTCCTGACTTACCAATTAGTCTAACCACGAGTGTTGTAACTTGTGCGACTATGAAGAATATTTGAACGTAATACGCTCATCCAAACGGAAAAGTATTTATCTATTAACCCAGTCCTATCATATTCCTATGGAAAGAACTTCCCCATCTTCTCATTATTTGTTAAGCACTCGTTGTACTTATTTAAGTCATCAATTACTGATGCAACGAGTGCTCGAGTTACACAGTATCATAGATACGCGGTTAAGTAAACTTGCCCGCATCTTTGCATAAATTTAGTATGCTTGTATCTATTTACATATAAAATAAAGTTTGCTTTTCTTCAATTTACTTTTCCATGCTGGAGTACGGATGGGTCTGTTTAATTTTAATTAACTTTGGGTAGCAAAGATTGTACACCGAGTGTATTACGGAGAGAAAGAAAGATTAACCAGAAATTTATTTTATGTACTATTTTCTAATATAGATTATGAAATAGCTGCTATTATAAAAAGTTTTAAATATCAATAGAAAAATAATACTATTTATTTGTTATATGGAAAAACCCTTGAATAACCAAATTTTAATATGTTAGAAATTATCGCATTTCTTTTACATCTTCCTTAGACCCTTGAAAGTCTACAGAGCCTAGTTTGAAATAGCATCTTGCATAAACAAATGAAAACAAGATCTATGAAATCGCAGATAGTTGAGTTTCAAAATAAGTATTTCTCTATTTATGGTTGTATTCGTAGTGGCGTCGGTGGTGTGCAAAGAATTTAAAGCTTACACTGTTTCCTGGTATAAAATTTTATTTCTGGAAGTACATACCCGCTGGAATGGCAGCACCTACCGCGCTCTCTCCGAGAGACTGCTTCGAGCGACGTTACCAACAGATAATTATACACAGTATAATAAATTGCCTTTTAATTTCAATGGAGCCATCAAATCTGTAAAAGATAACATTGGCATTTTAATATGAATTTTTTACTTGGTACAGACAGTTCGCTTACATGAAATAAATCGAGATTCGAAATCGTATAGCGTTGACGCGACATTTGTCTTCTTTCTTTACTCTTCGAAATTAACGAAAGTGCCACATCTTCGGTGAGTCAAGGAAGAGGACGAGTGTCAGTTCATCTTCCTCGACTCTACGAAACTTTACGAGTTCACGTACGTACACATGATCAGAGGTGCCAGAAAAGCACCTTGGTGCCCTACTCACACATGCCAGATCATTTCATTATAGTACCTTGCTTATGTTCGTCTACATACAGAGGTCGGAAAATAAAAAATACCTGGCCAGTCGAGACTTGGAATCGTATGGCGTCGACGTGAGGTCGAATTTCAGTTGTTCAAGTGCGAGAAGGCAAATGAGCCTTCCTCTCTCGACTCCCACGAGATGGCCCGAAATTACTTCGGGCAGCTTCGGAGAATCGAGAAAGAGGGCATGCGTCAGTTTGCCTTTGTCGACTTTCCGAAACTCCACGAGCTCACGTACGCGTATTTGGCATTTGTGAGTTGCACCCGACGGTGCTTTTCTGGCATCTCTGGATGCACCCGGTGCCCGATCTAATAACATTGGTGTACGGTGTACGTGCATCTTACTTTTATTGGCGGGTTAAAAAAAGTTTATTTGACTGACAACCCGATATGATAACAACATTTTAAATAACGGTGTGTATCATTGAATGTATGATTTTCTGTAAATATTGGTGAAAAATGTTTGGAACTTTTAAATTGTGCGAAATTTAAATGATTTGGAACTTTAACCTATCATTCCAAACCGTAAAGAAAATTTTTGAAATGATAAATGATAACTGTCATAAAAGTTTACATTTCTATGGAAATATTACTGTTATCCTTTCGTTGTATTATTCAAAATGTTATCTCTGTTTTTTATAATACCAGCATGTCGAAACCTATTCTACACTCGCCAATGACGGATCCAGAAAATTTACACGCATCGGAATGGAAGAGGCCGGATCAAGTAATGCAGTTACATCGCTTAAAAGTGAAAAAGCGTGCGCTTCAAGCACGCATAAACAACATACCTATTAATAGAGAAATTTTGCAATTGGAATCTACATTTGTACCTAAGAAATGCAACCTTAATTCTAGTAACTATGTAACTGAAAAACGTAAAAATCCTTTTGCGCAAGAAGAAACAAATAAAAGAATTGCTATATCATCCTCAGACCTAGAAACTAGTAGTGATAATACATTGTTTGAATTATTGAAAATTCAAGCTCCAAAAAAAGAAACGGTAGAAAATTCGATAGCTGACTCTCCTTTGACATTTTGTAATGTACTTTCAAAGTTAGAAGGAAACAAGACTGTTCCAAATCTAGAAACACCAAAAGGTGAAAAATATATTCCGGTAGACTGGACTTTAAAGACCAAAATGAGATTTATGTCTCCAAAACCATTCCCATGGAATTCTAAATTAAAAACTAGCGAAGAAGCTTCTGGTACGACTGGTTTTGTAAGATGTTTGGATATCAGTGAACAACATTCAACCTTAGATACTAGTCCAAATGCAAGGTGCCTTTTACAATGTTTTGCGCATTCTAATTTAGTAGAAATATTTATTCGAATAATAATTAAAAAAAATTTGTTTTGGATAGGCTGCACAAATGTTGTTTAACATGGCAACATCCTTCGTTACCATGGTTAGAATTATTTCCTCGCTCTGCTGGCAAAGTGGGTGCTAACTTAACGAGTAATTTGTCAATAATGAATAATGTACTTGTCAGAGATGCTTTATATAAAGACTGGAGCGAGAGCTTTAGGTCGCTCTTCCATTTATTAAGAGCTCAACAATGTCCATACTTTTATGTTTGTGCAAATAACTTTACTGTATTATTTCGTGCCGGCGGAATTTGTGGAATATCCGAAGCTCATGCATTTTTGACTCCTACTACACGGGGTTTTCGACAATTGTTAAAACAAGAAGGTACATAAGAAGTCAGGTAAGTTGCGTGAACATTTATAATATTTTATAATTTTTTTTAGAAATAGAATATTCAATGCCTCTTAGTAAGGATTTTAAAAGGAGATCAGGTACAACTGATTCAGGGTGTGAAACCTTGGATTCTACTACATCATGTTCCACAACACAATCAAAGAACGTAGAAAACGAAACTCCCGAGGACGACGAGGATGAAACGCAAGATGAATGGTTACAGAGTTTAGGAGTTGAAAATTCCGAAATCCTTAGAATTAGTAATTCTCAGGTAATACTGTAATACTTTATTTGTTCGTATTTGATCGCTTACGACATTTTATTGTAGGTGCGAATGACGTTAGAAAAAGAAACTGAAGTAGACAATTTGAAACACTCTCTTATTTTCGTCAAAGGAGTAGAGGCACAAGGTTTATTTAATTTTCTAATTAACTGTAAATCTGCTATTACAATAACTGGCCCTTTAGCTGGAGTGCCACCAACTCTTTTAGCACCCATAGCTTTTCATGGTGCTACATTAAAACCAATTAAGGTATGTATTTAAGTCTACTTATATAATACAAAATGCAAGCTACTTTTACATTTTAAAGGTTAAAGAGAGCATAGTACGCGTAGAGAACGAAAGGTATTTTTCGTTGGAACTGAAAGGAGCCCTTTTACCGCATGTATTACCTTCTCTTTGCTCTTTAATGAAATCTAGTCAGTTAGAACAATTTTCTGCAAGCTGTGCTCAATTATACACAACAACTCCATTTTCAGCAGCAAAAGATGGACTCGGTAAATTGTTTTTTTTTTCTATATTTACGATCACTTGTGTGATAATAATACGAGCACCAAGTTCGTGATTTTACAGAAGGAACAGAATCAGAAAATGCGACCAAGAAGCCACCAAATGTATTCGGTAAAGAGAATTTGAGCGATTGCGGATTCAACGACGAATTATTAAAACATTTTTGCAGCCCAGATTCAACACATATTCAAATTTTAGAAAATATTAAATTTTCGAATAATTTGTATACGTGGTCTTGACAAAAAGTTTTATTAATTTTATTAGTAATATTTTAAACGGTAATGCTTGAAACTTAATTTAAGAATTATTTTTATAGAAAGTTTGAACACAATGACGACATTATTTATTTAACAATCAGTGCTATTTGCATAATATTTTTTTACAGATTAAAAGTATCGCTAACGTAATTAAATGAAATCAAGTATATATTTAAGTATTATTATCATCATTATAATTAATTATTATCGGCATCATAATTATCGATATTTTTTTATATGTTATGACAATGCATTGTGACAAGTTCTTGAGTATATTCAATACTAAACAGTAACCCGAAGTTTAGTTTTTCCTTCGGAACAATAATAATGAGGTACTAACATAGATTCTAGGAAAGTAATGAAATAAATCATGTTTGCCTTATTTTTGGTGTAATCACAAAACATTATTATTTGTATTGCTCCGGTAGACGATACACGTGTTCGTTATTTGTGACAATAACTCTGATACTTATTGTTAAATATTTCGAAGGTGTTTTATATCGTTCGAAAATTAAATGAAATTTATACCGAAATTATAAATAAAATTTGTTAACATCCATCGTTCGTTCTTTTAATTTTAGTTTCCTTTGTCGCCTAAATTTTAATGAAACAAACCAAGCACGCGAAAAGTATGCATAACGAAAATTCATTAAAGATAAATTTTCGAACTCGCCAGTGGCGAAGGTGGGGTCCACGGATGGACTGCCCCTAAAAATAACGAATCGATATTCGCTCACTGCCCCCGAATCGTCGGCCGGTCACCTCGTACGCGAACAATCAGTTTATTGTAAGAACGAATTTTTCTCATATTTCTTTAACGAACGTCGGATTAATTACGATTATGTTCCTCGGCCAAGTAAATAAAATTTTCCAGTTTCAAATTAAAATTGCAAATTATCGTGTCTACCCGATGTAAGAAACAGCTTCTAAAAAACTTTGTTGACGCGGTATGAATTGGAGTAGTACGATCTATTACGATTCGCGTGCACACGTGTATCTACACCGAGCACGGTCATAAATATACACGTACCCATGTGATGATTACGTCAGTACCCGTTGCAGTCTGTGCTCATCGTATTGCGACACTCTTCAACGAGCAGTTTCATGTTCCAAGGTCTTTTATGCGAGTTCACTTTTCGTCGTCGAACAATGCACTGGTAATATTGCCCCCTCGGGCCTTGCTTAGAGCGATACTTTCGTATCAGGAATTTTCTCAGGTTTCCATTTGAAAATTGGGCTTTCCCGACCGAGGAGCCAAGATTCCTTTGCGATACTATTGTGGCCGATATCGTTCAAAAAGATGGTTGAACGGTAGAGCCTTTGCTACGAATCGAGAATAAAGTGAATGAACACGAACAAGATCGAGAAGTCGAATTGATTGTATCTCGAAACAATCATGATGACGTATCGTAGATAGAGTTTAAATTTTAAAACTTTACTTTTAATTCTTGTAAATTATAACGAAGGTGAATTATTAACAAATTTCTGTATAATTAAAATTTTAATTTAAGAAAGCATTAACATCTTCTAAAGCGGATTACAGCTGTTATTCGTACCAATGATGTTCGAAATATTTTTAGGGCGCTGAATTCAAACGCCTCGAAGCGCGATTCCGAGATTTCACGCGTTGGATAAAATTTCTCTCGAAAATAAAACAATGTCGAACCTGAAATGCGAAAAAAAGCAGGGTAAGGACGGCGCGGAGGGGCAAAAGAGAAGGTCCCTTCTTCTCGCGAACGTCCGATCAGGCTACCGAGAAGCAACCCCTTGTAAACGGGAGGGTTCAGGGTGGATAAAGCTGCTGGGTACGCGGGCGGTAAGGGGTTCGCGGCCAGGGAGGGTGCCAACGAATGCAGGGGGAGGGGGAGTCTACGACTGTGTCGCGCGCGCGTGTGTGTTGTACACTTGGAACAGTTAGGTTAGAAAGAGAATGACGAGAGGACAGACGTTTTGGTGTAGCGCGACGAGCGAAACAAGGACGGGAATTCGGATGGAAAGAGAGGCTCGTCGTGGAACGGAGAAGCGAGCGGTAAAAGTGTGGGTAGAACGGGGATAGAAACCGTGAGAGCAAGAGTGAAAGACGTACGTAGGATCATGGCGCGAAGGAGCAAGAGAGATACGTAGAAAGCGAGACAGAGAAGTCTCTCCCCATGATACGCGTACACATCCTGGTCCCTTATTCCCCGTGCGTGCGAAGGGGGTTTCGAGAGACCAGCAACGGTGGAGCCACGACGACAACGAGCCACAACCACGACGGCGAACACGACTACTACGACACCGTGTGGGGGTTGCATGAAGACCCCCTGGTGGGGTTCTGGCTGCCGACCCCACAGTCCCCCGCTGGAAATGATATCAGTCGCGACTCGGTCGAGGGAGCCCCAGCACGCGCGTGCCCCTTGCAGAGTGTGCCCAGCTCGTTTGCTCGATCGTCCACTCGCTCTACGTTCACGTTCGCTTTTCTCGTCGGTGCGCGTTATCGCTCGAGACTCGCTGTTCTGGGGGGCAGAAAGGGTGTACGGTGGACGTGCGGAAGGAACAAGAAACGTTGACACGGTGCACGTTCGGCTACCCCGTTTTCGGATCGTGCTCACTGGTTGATCCCGGTGGCCCCGTGACGTCGAGACTTTTTTTTTTATAAACATTTACCATTGGACAAATAAAAGGTGAGTGATTTTGGGGGAAATGGCTTTCGCCTAGGGTGTAATCGTGGCGCGGTGAAAGTCAGGTTCACAGACGTGCGTTCACCTGCGGCGGAAATATCCGATTTCTGGGCTCGGAGGTTCGATCGGGAGCCCGTGCATGGTAATCCCGCGACGTATTTACCTTCGTGTTCGCGTGAAAATTTGTTACCGCGAAGCACGACGCCGTTTAAAGCGACGATTGGGTATTTGCGCTGACTCGTATCGGACTTAAGACCTCGTACGACATCTGTGGGCTGTTCCGTTGGAACTGCAACAGTGCCTGCCTTTTCCTCGTTCTGTTTACGATGATAACCCGGTGTTCCTAAATTGGACCGATGGCGACGATACCATTAATTCGTTCTCGATAGCCTCGCGATGGAAATGCCGGTCGTGTAATTGACTGCGAATTGCACTCGTACATGCACGATGTGTACTGCTCGGAACAGTAGCACCTTATTTTCTCGGTCTCTCGTCCGTTTTACGCTTCTCGTTCGCGGGCGTTGCTGCGATAACGCGCTGCTCGACGTAGAAACGGTTTTACTGTATTTCGTTTTACAATACAGCGTAGTTCGTGACTCTTCGCGCCGGTCTAATTGAAATCGAGCCAGCTGTGTCTGCCTTTCGACGTTTACGACCGCCTCGTTTACGACTGACGCGACACCAGTTTTTCCGTGTTTTCGTTTCGATAGCACGAACGATTCTCGGAATGTTACCCGAGTCTTCCTTCCCGTCGCAGATAACATTTTTCATTCGCTCGCTGATTTATTTCCTCTTCTCGCTTGTTCCCCCGTCGTTCCCGTGAAAATAGATTCGTAGAACTGTCGAACGCGTCGGTTTCTTTTACGTTTGCTTACCTCAATCGGGAGCGAGACGATTTTTCACCAAAGGTCCGCCACGTCTGTACATACATACGTCTCTATATCGATGCGTACGTTTTTAAGGCGCGACGACGAGGCGCGGGTATTAATAGAGTCGACGCTGGGACGAAGCACACACGGTTTAAACCAACTCTGCTCTCTTGATCTTCGATGTTCTAGAGCGCTCTAACCAGCCACGGGAGATCTTGCGCATTCTTGGATATCTTAGTCACGCGAATAAGCGACCTCGATACGTCATTTGGAAAAATTCGTCATTTTTCGCGGTTCTTTTACTAATCGTTTCCGTCACACGTTTCGTTTAATTAGATTTTAGGTTAATAACGGCGTGTAGGTTTTTAATTTTGTACCGAACGTATACTTATTATTATTTCCATAGATTATTTTGTTTTCCTTTTTCGTACACAATCTTGGCAAAATAAAGACGTATTATTGGTTCGAAAGTAAAATAAATACGAAATGCACTGTATCGCGAGATTTCGTTTTTCGTTTTCACGCTGTTGGGAATTGGAGTCGGTAATTGGAGCAAACAGAAGTACATTTAACAAAATAGAATTATCCAATGTCCCATTTTTATTCCTGCTGTAAACGACGACAAAAGAAGCGTTCTGTTTCCAAAGTTGTAAACTTTTTTTCCCGTTGCTTGGAAATTTAAGAAGAAGTAGAAGAGAGAGAAATATTTAATTTCCTTCTGTTTGAAACTTTTAAGGAAAGTAGAATTTGTGAATATTTTACGTGGGTGATGGAAGGTTAAGAAAATTCAATACCAATAAAATGTGCGGTCCTTACGCTGTTATTTTGGTCGCTTGTCGAGTGGATAGAGCTTGTACGTTTATTTTACTTACACGAGGACACAGATGGTACGTTCGAAGATAGCTGCGACATTCGAGTGTGAATGAAGCTTGCCTTCGGGAATCTTACAAGTAATAAGAGTCTTTTATTAGAAACGTTATTTCATACCTTGGTTGCTGTGCATTGTACGCACGTATGCGAGCAATAATGCTGCATAGAACAAAGCAACACCGAGGACGATAATACGTGGTAAACGAAATCAATTTCTTTTACTTAGATCGTTGTTTCGATAACACCGTATATACAATTTACGGCCCGATAATTGATCCTAAATATGTATCAATTTCAGAAAAATTCTTTAAGTTATTATTCATCATGTGACTGCTAACTTACGTTATTATTATTTAAATCCAAACTACATTTGTCATAATATTTGTTTCAGTTTTCACGCAGGGACTTTGAGTTTCAAACAAAAGACCATTCATCGACGTCGAATTACATTGGAGTTTGTGTCAGGAGTGTCTGTTTTTAATATCGGCCGTGCACCACGGTTTCTGATAACTTTATCTCCGTTGCGTACACATATCTGTAACGATGATCGCGTACATTTCGTATCGATCATTTCTTTATCAAAACCGCGGCACTGTTAGATTAACATTACGCCGCGGATCGTTACAGAGCTCGTAAGTCAGGTGCATTGTACGACAATGTACAGGGAAATATTGAATAAATGCCAATACGTAGGCATGCCACGGTTGCCCGTGTGAAAGAGCTTTTATTCCCTATACCAACTCTCAAGAGTAAAACTCTCAAGTGCAGACCTAGCATAACGCATCAATTATACTTCTACAGCGACGCTCATCTCGGCCTGTATTTACTTCGCTTCACCTGCGTGTGTCTCTTCGCTTTGGCCTCCGCACGTGTCACGTTGAGCGTACTGCCATAAATTATATCGTCGCCGCGGCTTCGACGTAATTTTGCTCCGCATTATTCCAGTATTAGCATCGGTTCGAACGTAACGAGATCGAGCAAACGCCGTAAAGGATTTACATACGCGGAAGAACAACGGTAACGAAGAAAGGACCTTGTCTCGTTGAGATTTCGAGACTGTGGCCTCCGCCGAGGCGAGGAATTGATTTTCAGAAATAAAGCATCGCGTAGCCTCCCACGTGGAGGTACGCTCGTTAAGCTCCTCGTAGCATTGTGACCCATAACGTCGATGGGCGTCCTAGCGACGTCGAAAGATCCGCCTCCTCTGCGCGATAGCGAGAGCAATGTCAAATTATGATTGACAACAGTCGGCTTGTATCAGCGTCGAAGTCGCGGCATTCCAATCTGCCAAATGTATCAGCGTGCTCTTGCGTCACCTTTCAAAGTCGTTTCCTCGTACCGTTTGCTAGAATGTTTATATTAACGACAACAATCGAGAGCTTGGATTACTGGCGCTAAATGTAATCGAAGCACCATCTCGACTAACTCTAATCTCGACTCTGACATCCAATATATGGTAAAGAAAATCGAACGATAACATAAATAAAATATATATAAAGTTTATGTTACGATATGTAGGAACACGATTCGTGTTGGAATGAAAAATTCAGACGTTTTATGTTACCTGCACGCGGTAAGAAGGCGACATCGAAATAAGCTCCTTTTTCCTGCCACGATGAGAAACGTAATCGTACAACACTATTGTACTGTAAGAAAGAAAAACGACATAATGGAACGTCTAATGGTAAAGATTATTATATTTTTCTCTCCGATGCTTATGTAAACAGTCTCGGTAACGTTTTACGTTCCAATTATATCATTGAGTAACGTTCATCATTTAACTAATGGAACAATCTATATGCGTTTAACGGCGGTAGAATAAGGTTTCAGGAACATTTCGCGAGTATAATGAGGTAAAGAAAAACATGAAACCACAAGAATAAGTTGGGCAATGTTGTGGCGTTTTGTGGAAATAGTTACGAAACGTTACGTAACCCTGCGCCTATCAATATTTGAAATACCCTTGGGAATGAATCGACGCGATAAACAACTAGTTTTACTTTGTTTATTGTATTTTTTGGTAATAGTCGTTCGATTCGCGATAGTGTATCTTTTCTATTTATCTTTCGTAAATACGTGACCGTTGTGCATTGAATTGTGACTCGGAACGAAACGTATCGCGATATCTTTTAACCTTCAAGCGTGGGAGCATTTATTTTTATTATTAAAACGAATTCTCAGCCACCGAGATTACCCCTTATCGCGATTCGTGTCTAGAGAATTTTGAACGGGCCGAGCGAACGTAAATCAAACTGGTTTAACTCGACTGTAACCGATACTTTGGTAAAATTGAATAAATCCTGTCCCTTTAATGCTTCCCAGCGCTCTGCAACGGCGACGATAAATTACAATTGGTATAGAAATTCCCTGCGTGTCTGTACAAACTTTGTATCACAAAGGAATTAAGTTATCGAGCGCGGCGCGTCGAAAATTTCGCTACGCGTATTCTCGAATGCAACCGCGACCTTTTTATTTATACAGAGGACATTGATCTTGAAGCTGCAACCTTAATTAAAGCGAACGATTATGGTTGATTGCGACGATGAACTATAATCCTTACGACGACAAATTAAATAACAATTGATCTTCATCAATTCGTACAGAGCGTGGACATTTTTATTTGGACGAAACATACTTTGTTATCGCGTTTACTCTCGATGCGTTACAACCATATTTTTCACATGGAGTAAATCGGTAAACGTATTAAATTGAACACACTTTCATTTACATCTAATTGTCGTTTGTTTATGGGATTTTTTGATCGTAGCTAACCCAGACCTCTATGATATACATGTAGAGAAAATTTTAAATATCTTTTAATAAAAGATCATACATTTGAAAAGAATGTCGAATCGTATCGTTTAAAACTCGATCCACGCGAGAGAGCAATTCTGTCCTCCGTCTTTAACTCGGTAACTTTATTCAAACACGACGTAGCAGCCATTTTTGATTCGCGTATCAAAGTACAAAATTTAACCTCGAAGCGAAACGTTCGTCGTCACCTAGCAACGTAATTTTTCTTTCTCGTCTTTTCTGTTCACCTTCGGCGCGCAAGTTGTCCGGCAGTAAAATTATAATCTCAAAGTTCAGAATTGCAAAGTTCCAACTTCGAATCTAAATTACCTTGCTTTTTCCGCGACCGTTTAAATGGTATCATTGGACCGCAGAGAATTAACCGGTAACTGGGCGTTCTAATAAAGACTTATTTTACTTTGTACTCCTTTTTAATACACGGATTAAAACGGTTAGGATCAACTACGATTTTACAAAACGACGGCAACGTTTGCACACGCGAAATCGATCTCACAAAAGTCAGCAATAAGATACAAATAAATACCCAGGGTACACATCGTCTTATCTGACATTTCCTCAAAGATATATGGAAATGGATTCCTGAAAGATATGTTACGTGTTTATTTACTACGTTATTCGGTCTTACGAAAGTTTACATGTTACGCAACGCGGGAAAGAAACTTAACGAGGGAATTGTTTGTCAGAGATACGGTAGAGTACATGGTTACTGCAGAAAATAGAGACCCAAAATTTCTATACAATAATTCAGAAATTCTCAAATTAATTAATTTGTCTTCTCCGTAACGTTAACACTAGATTTACGGAAGCCATTTTGGTTCCAGTACACCTTCCACAGACCAATTTTCAAGTAACAAATAGATGAACAACCGCGTTAAGTGAAAATTCGAATTTGTATTATAAATCGAAATCTTTCGTAATGGGGGGAATAAGAACAAATCGAATAAATAATTTATCGTTCGAATAAAGCGTTGTGCCCCTCTCCGGTGCGAACTGGCTCGAAGTTTCGTTCGACGACAGAACTTGAAAACGGGATTCATAAATTTAAGCCGCGCATCTAATAGTAGGGGGGAATTCGAAGCAATTTCGTGACGCCCCCATCACGATATCGTTTCCGTCCACACTTACAGTGTTCCACGTGGCCGGGAAACGACGCGTGCTTTTTCCATCAAGCGATCCCGTGCGACGATCAGCGTCAAGACGGCTCCGCGACGTCACGAGGGGGGTCCTCTTCCGATAGTCGTCGATTTTCGTGGTTCCTATCTCCCCCCCTCTCGGCAGTGACGTAGCTGCCGTGAAACCGTAGGAAAAAAAGGGTGCGTGCAGTCGGTACGCGAACGTAAAGCCCTTTGGTAATGCGTGATGGGGTCCACCAACGAAATTATGGATCGGGCCTAGATATTGCGTCTGCGCATGATCATCGCCGAATCGCTCTGCCCTTCTTCGTTCTGCTTTTCACCCCCTGCTCGTGTATGTACAACCACCCCCCCCCTTCCGCCCCCAGCATCGTGTTCGTACGTATTTGGCTAACTCCTGCCCCCATATCCACCCCCCTTCTGTTTCTTTCTTTTCCTTCGTACATTATACAGCCTCGTCGAATACGGCATCCTTGTAATCACGTTGGCGAATTTTCCATTTAACGTTCTCGTAGTGTTCCGCAAATCTGGCCGAGTACACCGAGAAATTATCGCAGGTGGGAAGGGGGTAAACTTGGAGTAATTACCATGGTAGCTTGTCCTTTGGGACTATTTATGAAGCACCCTTTCTCTGGTATTAAATTCGAACTTTGGTAAATTATTATTATCGAATAATCCTGAAATGTTACATATTATTTTTGGAAAGCATTAGTAGGAGAGTTCTGTTTTGGGGCACGACTATCAAGCTCCCCAATTCTTCTATTTTTTCAGTAGAATTTGTACAGTTCTGAACAGCCCCTTATTAACTATTGGGGGTGGGTGAAAAAGCAGTACTCTCTCATAATTTAAAAGTGAAACATAACGAGAAGTGAGGTGACGCTTAGATCCCCGAAAGGAAAATCCGCCGTCCATTTAAAGAAGAAAGAAACCATTGCCTGTACCATGCTTGTTTCCCTGGCCCTCTACGACAAAACAGTCCCAGGCCCCCAAGGCCCAATGGTACCAATACGGTCTTCGTATGCAGTGTTTCTCTGTTATTTATTAATAATCCAATATTAACAATATTTATGTGGAGAAGCAAAGAAAGATCGAGAAAAGTTTTATCGAAATTGAGACTCGTGTCTCCTCTCTACAAATTACTGAAAGAAACAGTCATTTGTATCCATTGAAACTGCTCCTGACAGACTGGCATTACTTATCCAATGACTATCAAACGTTCACACTGATTTCCAAGTGCTTCCAGCTGTTATTTCTTTCAAAACTAATCTAACATCTGGGTAATTATCCCCGTTAGTAATAAAGTAGTTAAGTTGACACGAAGCTCTACTTCAAACACCGTCCAAAAGTAGTTAGACGATCATCATATTCGGATGTTTACACAGCGGCATCAAGTTCTGCGACTTGCGTGCAATCGTTGGCTGTCAGGTATTATATGCACATCTCGACGTAGACGATTAGAATAATTGTACGTAACGTGTCAATTACGGTGACGTTTCGCCGGTATCACTGTGTGTTTCAATTATGATGTAACAATTATAGGTAAGGTAGAAAATATACCATCGTTGATTACTACACATCGCTGGTACAGTGGCTCACGAAAGTGTTCGAACGCATGCAAGAAATAAATGAAACGAAAGAGATATTTATGTTAGAGTTCAGTTTCGAAGATAACATCTTAATAGCTATTAGACACAAGTATCAGGATAATATGTGCAAAATTTCAACTCAATCCAACAGTGTATATAGAAATTAAGAAGCATTTATTATACAAACGTACTGCATGAGGGTCACGAAAGTGTTCGAACGGAAGAAATAATTTACATTTTTCGCTATGTTAGTATTTGGTTGGACCTCCTTTTGCCTTAATTACTTCACTTAGACGTCGTCCCATGCTGTGCACCAAGTTTTCCGTCACTGTGGGTTCAATGGAATTCCATATTTATAATATTTTTTGTTTTAATCCATCCTTTGATGAAATATTGTGGTTTTTTAATCTTCTACCGATTTCGGCCTACAAATGCTCGATGGGGTTCATGTCTGGGCTTTGAGCTAGTGTATGCAGCATATGTGGTGTATTATATAATAGCCACTCTTGCACAATCTTGGCTTTGTACTTAGGTCGTTATCTTGCTGAAAGTAAAAATTTTCTAACAGGCCTAATTTGACAGCACTTTCTTTTAAATTGTCTTTTAAAATATGTCAATATTTGGCCTTGTCTGGAATACCGTCTATAAATACAAGATTTCCTACCCCGCTTGCTGCCATACACCCCCAAACCATAACCGAACCTCCTCCGTGTTTCACAGTTGGGCGTAAATTTCTCATATTCATTTCTGTATTCGGTTTTCTCCACACATATCGCTGTCCATCCGACCCAAATATGTTAAATTTACTTTCGTCGGAAAAAATAACTCTGTTCCAAAAGTTACAATCTTTACTTTCGTATTCTTTTGCAAACTTTAATCGTTTAGCTTTATTCGCTTTACCGATGAATGGCTTCTTCCTTGGTACTCTACCACTAAAATTATTTTTCCGCAGTATTCTGCGGCATAATTCAGGGTGAACAATTTTTCCAAGATCCTCACTAACCATTTGAGCAAGTCTTGTTGCCGAAATAGTCGGATCTTTTTTAATTTCGCGAACAACAATCTTCTGTTCCCTTGCACTTAACTTGCTCGGCCGGCCTGCACGCTGTTTGTTTATCACTGTACCTTCAGTTTTTAACTTTTTTATAATATAGTGGACTGTAGACACACTTTTACCTACACACTTAGCTATTTCTCGATACGATTTTCCATCTTTGTGTATCCTCACTATAATTTCCCTTTCGCATATTTGCGTTTCTGTTCTCTTTGAATTCATTGTCACTGAACACACGATAATCGACAACTAACGACATACAATTTACCATAGGATGCCTAGAGACGGAATCAACTTACAAATGTTTACATATTTTGAAGCAAAACAATGTTTACTTCAATAAATTCCAGGCGTTCGAACACTTTCGTGACCCTCATGCAGTACGTTTGTATAATAAATGCTTCTTAATTTCTATATACACTGTTGGATTGAGTTGAAATTTTGCACATATTATCCTGATACTTGTGTCTAATAGCTATTAAGATGTTATCTTCGAAACTGAACTCTAACATAAATATCTCTTTCGTTTCATTTATTTCTTGCATGCGTTCGAACACTTTCGTGAGCCACTGTATATGTTATTTTATTTGAACGTTGTTTCTTGTACCATGATATTAACAATTTTGCAAAATTATACATTCTGACAGACATGCATTGCAAAAGGGGTTCTCAAACTGTTTCTAATGACAATGACGTTATTCAAAAATCTACTGTACAATAAATTCTCATTTATTACAAGCGTCTTTTGACGCTTGAAGCGCCGGTCACCAGTGACCCCCGCGACAGTCAACGCGTTAAGGGTAAAAAAAGTCGATTTTTCTTTTAAAAAGAATTAAATTGTAAATAAATATATCGTATTCGCGTCGTTTTAGCGTACGTTGCCGAAAGATTCGTGTATTTATTTATATCGACCCAAAAACGTTGTGCGGTGGTGAAACCGCAGGGGTCCAAAGCTGGGTGTGTCGCAGGTCGATTTTGCTGTTCCGCATAGAAACGCGCGATCGATGCAAGTGAAACAATTGAAAAATATATGTACCAACGAGCAATGAAAAATATTTGGCCGTTCGTTTCGTCGAACTTTATACGGGGCGAACCACCCCTATGAACGTTTCGTTACCTCGTAAACAGATCACGATCGATATTTTTAATAAATATGGTTTAATTCGCTGCTTCGAGTAGCTAAATCGATTGTATTTTTGCCAAAGGTGACCCGAATTACTGTAAGAATGGGCGAGAAGACGTTCAATCTTACTTGGAACAATCACCTGGCGAACTTGTCCGGATTGTTCGAGGGGCTGTACAAAAGTGGTTCCTTAACTGACACGACCTTAGCTTGTCAGGGTGGCATGCTGAGAGCACACAGATTAGTCTTGGCAGCGTGCAGTCCTTACTTCGAAAGAGTTTTCAAAGAACATTATGGCGAGCAGCCGATTCTTATTTTAAAAGGTGAGTTAATAGTTCCTAATAAATCCACACTAAGGATCTAATACGAAGCTATTTATAAAACTGTCTATCAGAGCCGATTACGTTATACCAGCTTATTTACCTCTGAGCGTTACATAACTGTACTAGATCAAAACAATGGATGAAACATCTGTCTCATCGTTTCCAGCTAATTTTGAATTGATATATCTGATATTAATCATGGTTACAAGATTGTAAACAACGTTACGCGTTTGAGTTATTTTCATACGCAACAATTTAACAGATTGTAACGAAATGTGTCGGAATAGATTTAGAGTGTAACGGTGAGGTGCCCAAAAGTATTTTCGGTGGCCTTATTTTTGTCTTACCTTAAGACTTGAACGCCTCAAGTAAGAAGAAGAAGCAGTTTGTATTTCAAAATGTAAGGACTTAAAGACGTAAAGGACTTCATCAAATTGTAAAAAGGCCAACGCCAACGATAATCTCTAGAAATAAATTTTCAAATTCCCCAAAGATCGTTTGGTCGTTCGAAATACAAAAGTGTTACCAAGTAGCAGAGGATGTTTATAATCGTGTAATGAATTTCAAATAACAGGCGTGGCGGTGGAGGAAATGGAGTGTCTTCTGGACTTCATGTATCGAGGTTCCATCGATGTCGCGGAGGAACATTTGCCTTCGTTGATAAAGACCGCGACGGATCTAGAAGTCCGTGGCCTTTCGGGCGACCAGAGGAGCCAAGAGAACAACCGTAGCCCATACACCAGAGTCGAGACGCGAATGCAATGGCGTCACATAGAGACCAGGGTCCACACGACCGAATACATGAAGGAACCGTCGGTCATTCCTTACTTACCGAAACAGTCTTCCGTGGAATCGTTGGAGGAACACATCAGAGTGGAAGAAATCGAGGTGGAGGACGATCCTATGGTGATCGATGGACACGAGGACTCATTGGACGAACCCCTGCGAACTTCGGAAACGCAAATCGTAAGTTGGAACAAACTGATCGAGCGGAATTAAAAGTAGCATTAACTCTTTCCGAGAACGTAAATGAAAAGAGACAAATAAGGGACTCTTGGGACTCTTGGGGGGCCCCTCCACGCAGGGTTCCGAGGTTGAAGCTTTATTAGGTCCATGGTAGATCCGCCCCTGTCCCCAAATAATCTAGCGATGTCAAGTACAGCGACCTTGTTAACCAATTTATTGTTCCACCACGCCCTATTCATCGATTTGGGAACGTATCGTTTAGCTGCATCGAGGCTATTAATACATAATGAGGCGGAGCACCATCGTGTTAAATGATAATAATAGACTGCAATAGTGTGTACAAACCGGAGGTGGAAATTTCGTGCAAATACTGTAAATAAAGCTAGTCACGTAACGGGGAAGATGATTCCTGCGTTAACAATTTCTCCCTTTCTGCGATGTTCGATCGACCCGGGGACATTTCGAAGCAGTGCATCTAACGAACCGTGCACACGTATTTACAGGGACCCTTATATAAATTTTTAATTTTTTATTGCACGAATAACTGTGGTGACAACAGAATCTCAACGAGCATTCTCTACTCGCCAAAAGATGATAGTATTGCTCGCGATAATATATTTATTTTCACATCCTTGTGCACGCAGCATAAACGAGGCTTTCTACTTTTTTAAACTGCGATAAGATACGACTGCGCTTCCGGAATAACCTGGTAGCCACTGGGAAACGCGAGAAGCTATATTATTAAGTCGTTTCATAAGTTTTGCGCGTTATTTTTTATGCTTGAAAAAAAGTAAACACAAAAGTCTTTTAGGATTATTTTAGCAATATTCTTTAAAGTCAGTCATTTTCAAGCTCTGAAGCTTCGAGTTCTCAAAAGTAACAAACAGGAGGCTGGTTTTTCGACATTTTTTCGAAAACCATCGTCTCACTATGTTGGATGTTCGATTTCGTTTGAAATAGGAAATCTGTGTCGAAGCGTAACCTCGTTGTTTCTGCCGATCGCTGAGGATCCGCAAGTATTCATAAGGCGACACATAGTTGAACTTTCTTTGAAAGCGAACGAGAAGCGCCGACTTAATCGAGACGTTTTTTCCATTCGTTTTATCGTCCCCTCTCGACGTCGTCTAATAATTAATCAAGACCGAGGTAAGAAAAAAAAAAAAAACACGAGCTCGTTTCGTCCCCTTTGATCACTGGGAGCAGCGACGCGTCTTGAAAAGTTCCCGGCCCCGGTGCATAGAATCGTAAGTTTAGTTCAATTAACGGAAGTTAGTCCAAAATGTACGTGACACGGATGAACTAGTTAAGTTTTCATAAAAAAGTTTTTAGTTTTACTAATTTCAATACTCCGCGTTCCGTTGATGTTAATCCTTCCGCTGCAGAATCTGCGGTCGATGGCCAATTTAATAGTTTAAAATATCGTTCGATATTTCGCGTTAAAAATGTTTACGCCAAAACATCTTTTTTTAAATAGAAAAGAATTGATTAGAAGTTCGATTTCATAGAAAACATAGTAAGGTGACGTTGTTTTACCAAACATTATTCTACCGTGTTGCAAGTTCGTTGGTATATGGTAAGAAAATTCGTTCAGAGTTAGAGGCGGCTGTAACGAATTCCAGAGCAAAGAGTTAATTTAATATTCGATCGGTGGTACGTGTATCAGTTTTCTAAATGTCTCTGAATCGTTTAGAGGCGCATGCCACCGCCAATTTTCCAAAGGGAAACCAGATTCAAAGGCCAGAAAAGAGTCTCGGTCGGACGTACCTCGAGGAGCAGTGAGTCAATGGAATACAAATCGAAGGAACGCGCGGCCTCGAGAGGCGACTCCGCAAGGGATGAAAGCTACGAGGATTTGCCAAATGCGATTAAATTCGAATCGAATTTCAACAACAGATCCACAGATCCCACGGTACCGGACATTGAGATGAACGACGACTTACAAGAACGAGCAGAGAGTCTGGTACGAAATGATGGTCACAATTGAGATTGATCCTCATCTGTATTTTAACATCCGTCCTCCACGAATGCACACGTTGATTCGATAAGGGAGGACTCGTGAACTGTCAGACTCTGATCTCTGTGAAACATTGCAGAAACGTTCATTCGAAATAATTAAAGAACCATCGTGATTGCTACTTTTTTAGTGGAAGGCAGAAGCCACCCTCTATATCAGAATCACTCGTTTTATTCATAATACAACTTTTAAATTACAAAAGATATTTCGAAGCAAACTAAAAATAAAAATCTCTCAAAGATGAACTATTTGTTGCAATTTAAGATAAATAAAATAGTATAAGGGGTTGCTTTTCCATCAAAGACAAAATATGAACGTTGATGCAAGGTTTCCTGTGCATCGGTGTCCAAGAGTTCCTTCGTTTCCTCGTGAAAGAAATAGAAACGTGTGAGCTACATATTAACTTCTACCAACATTAATGTCCGATTCGCCTAACATTGCTTCACCAAGCGTCGTATTAATCCTTTCGATCGTTCTTGTAAGTTCATAACCGTCGTCCTTGCAGCCTACCGTTCGCGTTATACTCTCTTTTCTACTTGTAGGACTCGTCGAAGAGCGCGGACGAGAGCTCTAGGTTATCGTTGAAGAAAAAGAGCGACGGTCCCTCGAAGAGGACAGGACTGAACGATGGAAAGGAGACTAGGCCCATACTGGTTAAATCCGAGAGGGCGCAATACAAACCCTTCTCCTGCGACCTTTGCACTCTCGCGTTCACGAGGGCTTCTCATTTAGCTAGACACAGGAGGGTCCACACGGGCGAGAGGCCATTCGCCTGCAGCATTTGTCCCAAGATGTTCGCCAGGCAGGACAAGCTGAAACAGCACGTGGACTCGCACATGCAATGGCCGAAGAGGAAGAGCAGCATGTCGAGTACGAGTTGCCAACCGACTGTGGCTCCATCTGGCAAAGGGAAGAGAGGCAGACCGCGAAAGGTAGATATTATTGTACAGAAAGGGTTTCTGTAAGTAATTTTGTCAATACAAGGTTTCTTTCGAGGTCCTGTTCCCCATTACCAGGACTCGATCGACCGATAAGCAAAATAAGCACATTGGGGCACCATAGAGTTTTCCCAGTGCTGTTTACAGAGTCACAAAAAAAAATAAAATATTACTAAAGTATCCATAAATATCGTTGTAGCATCGAAGGGCCCATATATCTTCAACTCTATAAGTTAAGCTAGTTTTGGATGTAATGGCCCCTGGTATCTTGATGTAACTGCAATGAAAAGAACTCTTATTCAATTTAAGCAATTAAAGGGTGCATCGGTCGGTCTTGATCCGGTCCTGTTTGTCAGTCATTCTATTTTTATCCACCGCTGCCATGAGCTGTATAGAAAATGTGAGTTATGGTGTTTGCAAAAAGGAGGATCGTAACGAATGATTATTAGTATTTTGAATAAACGAAACGAGCCTTTGAGAGGCCATAGCTCAGTGGAGGCAAGATAAATGTAATTAAACGAGAATTTACGTGCTTGCGGCAGGTAAACTTGGAACAATCGGCCATGGAGGAAATATTGAAATTCGGTGAATTCAGTTCGTTACTGAACAAATCTCATTCGGCGAATTCGACGGATAAAAGCGACGATTACACGGCCAACGTTAAAGAGGAGAAGGTGGAAAGTCGGAAAGAAGATGGCGCCGACGAGAGGGACGAGGATATAGAGAAGGACATGGATACAGACACGGACAAGGATAAGGATAATTACGGCGATCAGAGCGGAAATGGCCAAGACGATAACGTTTAATCGATTACCTTCGATAACTCCGGAAGAAGCGTTTGTCTACGAGCGAGAGTATCTACCGTAACTCGTGTTTAGAGAATGCGGGAAAATGTCGAACTTTCTTCGATCGATGACGCGATCCAGGTACTTTTTTCTGAATTTTTTTTAGTCGCTATAACGGGTGACAGTTTTTAACGGCACAGAGGAATACATCGTCCAAATATCCGCGCTGAATATTATAGAATTGGATATTTTTGTGGGCTGGAGATCGATTAACCTCGGTATATTCGTTAATTGATAATATTTTGGGATTCGGTTTGTTGCCTCTGGATATTTATCGTTTGAGATTTAAGATGTGGTTCCTTTGATCGTAGGTATCGAAATTCGTACGATTATAATGAATTGTAACAATAAGTAAAAGTTTATAGAATGACTGTCCGTGAACTCGTAGTAGAAATATTTTAGCTATCGGCGATGCTAATTATAAACTACTGTTTCGGAGTCGAGTTCTCGATATGAACGTACGAACGAGTAGTCGAACGAACTATACAGGGTAGGGCGTAAGTCGTGGCACGAACGAGACAATTTCTCGTGAAAATCTAGTCGGAGGTACGAAATAATGTAAACTCGCTTCGAAAATATCATTTGAATACCTGACTATTCAAATCTCCTGTCTTAGCACGAAGCAATTTAACGTAAAATTTGTTACTTTTTCTTTTCACGAGGAATTACACCACGAGGTTACACTATACCTTGTACGGTTATCGTAAAACAGATTTCGCTGGAACTTGGAAACTGATTTCATTTACGTACGTGATTTACGATAGAACAATTTACTCGGATCATCGATTCAATGTCCGACAGAATTCACGGTATTCAACGGGTTTGAAACAGAAGTGAACTTTATAAATAAATGAAACGAAATAAATTTTTATACGTCTTAGCGCATCGAACGTAAACGAATGAAATTATTCGATGATGTCGTAATAATTCAATTACATCAACGATTGCTTGCTCAGCGTAAGTGATCTTCAACGGAGATACTATAATTCTTTCGATTTTCGTTTGAGAGACCCCTCGTTTCGCGTCATCTCCATTCGACCTGGCCGGAGATGCGGAACAACTTTGTGATCGATTCTATCACGGTTCTGGTATTTATTTATTTATTGAGGTTCAAGACATCCTTGTTGTAGATTCGACGCGAATTCGTTCGAAAGAGTACCTGAGGCACCCATGTTATTACGTATTAACTAAGTAATTGAGGGTGAAGACAGGCCATATAGAGAAATGATAAAAAGTCCGTGACGACTATTTAGCCTACTGATAAATCGAAGTATACTACGATCCACCGTCGTACGGACGAAATTTATGTCGAACGATAAGATTAGGGAAAGGAACTTTACGTTGAAAACTCGACCAAATTACTTTAGCTTGAAGACTGGTGGTATGGTTTGCATTGTGAAACTACTCGACTGACCAAAGCTTAAATTATGGACTTCTTCCGCGTGACATTCTTCGCGCATTATTTAATATAGGATGTATGTTGATGCAAACTTATACTCTGTTGATACTTGGGTCGGTTCTATTAACCGATAATGTTATCTCCTGTATCGAAATTTACTTGAAAAACTTTGCAATACTATAAGTATGGCAGAACCTTCGTTGCCCGAATAGGTAGACGCGATTAAAATGTTCGTATAACAGAAAGTTCACTGTTTTGAAGAAAATGAAAAGATTTATATATATATAAATAATACATAAAAGTACGCAATTGATGCGTAGGAAGGAAATGTATTTTTTTTAATTTAATCGTTTGATTGTTAAATTGCATAAATTTTTGTAGAATGATTTGTTATAAAAGTAAACAATTTTAGATTAAAATATTTTGATATTTTAAAAGTTTAAAAACTCATTTGGAACATATAGAAAATGTTAGAAACATTTCTGTACTACTGACACCATATCTTGCGTTATCATGAACGTTAGTACTACACGCATCCGCCATGACCCCATTATTGTATATACTATAGTAGCTAAAAATATTAGGTAACTACACGAGATCTTGCCACTGAATGTACAACTGAAGTTTCATTTAGAGAATTCGGATAACGACGAATCGGGCAATGGAGTTTCTGCTGTATTTCGAACAAACTTTCATCGAGTCCAAGTTACTTCTTTCGACTAGCTAACGAAGCTGGTTCGTGTTTTTTAACGAGCAGATTTAAACGTGGACCTAATAAATATTCGAATTACTTGTACGCCTAAATAACTTCGAATGTTCGACTATATTTTATCGGACGAGTAGCGTATCTCCGTTTCTTCTCGAATTTCTATAGCAGGAAGTTGGAAGGATTGCCCCTGAATGGAGTTCAGATTCAGAGATCAGAATCATCGAAGAAAAAATTATTTCACTATTGGTTGATAATAAATAAGAAACGAAAGTAATGGTTTCTCTCCTAGACGATGGTTTTTACTTACTTTGTTATGTTTTTACTTCTATTTTAATTGAGCAATAGGAGTAGCGATTCAGAAGTGAAAGAATATTTTTGAAACTTTTTTATAATTTGTTGATTAATATTTTGATACAATAGTAACCTAAATAGTCAAGTCCACGTTAATTGTTTATTTTTTAATTCCTCTGGGGGTAATCTTTACATCTTCGTGCAGTAGGTGAACGTAAGACAGTCATGATCTTGAAGCTAATTTCGTGTCATGGTTATACCACGTTTGTTACTACGAAAACCGTGCAGTCCGGATGCACGACAGTGCAAACTATACCCGCGTATAAAGCGGCTCAACGATCCTCGGAGCCAAGAAAGAAATGTAGCTTCGAATATTTTGTTATACACGCGATTGAAAATACGTCAAGTACAAATGTCCAAATATTAGAGTATACCTGTACGTAAGTGTGCGTGCCTGTCGTATAAAAAAAAAAAACGAAAGAATCAGCATACGCGTGTATCGCGTTCGTGTGCCGTCGTTTGCGCAAACGAACGTTCGTTGATACGGTTTCCTTTCTTTTTCTACGAACAGCATAGCTTCTTGTACCATCCCTGGTTGACTAATGCTCTCGATGTTCTTGTTTTCCTTTGCGATTTTATAAGTAGCCCGTAATCATCGATTCTAAAGGAACGAAACGATTCGATGCTCCAAGCATCGAACAACGTATTTACGTTTGCTGATTTTCGTTTTCGCTATTATTGGTAATCACGTCGTTGTTTTCTCGGAATCGATTCTCAATTTTTATTTCTTTAAAGAAAGAATTTATGATTCTATAATTAAATCCCTTGCACGCCAACAATTTTATAACGCTGCTTTTAAAAATTAAAAGTATCCTTTTTCTTTAATTTCTTTTTTTTTTAATTCAATTTCTATCGTACGTGTTTCCGGAGATGGGTAAAATTTTATCAGAATAATAAATAACAGCGAACTGTTAAAATTTTATTTAATCGTTGCGAGATATTTCATTGTGCACTTCGGATAATTATTTTTATTTGAGAATTTTTCCCATCTTCGTCGACGATGGCGTGCAGGGGACGAAAATCGAATCGATTCCATCGAATCGACGGATCGAATGTTTTGTGTTTTATCGAATTATCAATTTCGATTACGTTTACGAGCAGTTCTGTTCGGTTTCTAGAATAACATAAGCGTATATTTGCATAGTACGCGTAAGTGCCACGCGAATCGTGTTTTTTCTGTAACATTGTTGTTGTTGTTGTACAAACTATATTTTGTTTCGTTAAGTTCTTGTTACACGACCTATACAGCGTTATATTATAACTTCCGTCATGGCGATGTGCAATTTTTTCAATGATACGATGATTTGATCTGCCACGGCAAGCTGCAAGTGAATTTCGTGCAATCTTTTAGAGCGTCCAGAATGGTCGCATGCGAGTCTTCATATCTCTCATAGTGTAAATTGTGTAGCCTGTGTAAATAAACTGTAAAATCAACGTCTTCTTTAATTGGTACCTTTTCTTATTGTTCGTTGTTAACGAATAACAAAATGAAACTCTGGTGTTAAAGAGTTAGCAAGCAAAGAAAATTGGAAATTAGTTGAGACTAAAGGGCCTTCCTTTCTTTCACGTTAATCGCAGTTATCATTATATTCATCGACATTATATGTTACATTGTACATTATATCTTTACAAATTACATATACATTACATCTTTACAAATTAGGTTTCGCTTATACACAGACTTTTTGTAGGTGTCAGGTGAGAACGTGGCGGATTGTTTTCTCCGTTCAGCATAATCATATACTTCATCGCGATTTACGTAATGCCAAAACGTATCTTACAATTAGTTTCGACACTTCCGATGCCAGTAGCAAGGAATCACGAACGAAGGATCGTCTGAGATCGAAATCGGCCTCGAGAGATGTCGGTTATAGAATCGATCATCGAACGCGATCTTTCGATGAACCGGTTATATATAATATATATGTTTCATGACACAGTTTCGCTTTGAAAGGTTTCCTTTTTTTTTCCACTAACATTATTATGTCGAGTTACAACGGCAACATCGAAAGCATTGTTTCTCGTCTTCCACTCCATTTTCTGTCTATTGATTGCAATTTACATAGTTGCACCACAGAACACGGCGCGGATAACTTTAACGAACGTTCTAGTTGACAAAAGAATAGATTGCGTACGACTCTCTAGCGGATAGGATCTTACTTTTTTACCTGAATTCATGCAGATACCTTTCATCCTCTTCGATTTATTACTATCGTCTAGATTTTACTTACATTTTCATGGAGGAATCGATGAACTCGCGACTGCTTTGAAACTTTGCCATTTTCTGCGACAAGTATCGAACAAGGCTGGAGACTACTCGAATCGTCTAATATTTGTATTTAAGTATTCGAATATCGTCGTTTGAAAAGAAAGTGTATGAAACTACACATTCAACAAAATATAAATAATTGTAACAAATTTTTTGTAATGAAAATTTGCGTTTAAAATAATTGCGTACAATTTGTCCTGGCCTGAGATATTCAAACAAGAACAAATTAAATCAGAGGAGACCAAGAACAAATTGAGAAAATAATTCTAGCGCAGAGTTAAACAATGCATCTTGTCGTTGTTCCTAAACGACGATTAATAATCTACGCTCATATAAATACATACAAATACAGTTGTATACATTTTAATGGGAAATTCTAGAGGCCAAAATAAGACGAAAATCGAGAATAGCAATTTGTTGATTGAGGCTTCATTAAAAAGTTATTAAAAAATTAAATTAAAAAATTTCAAATTATTCTGAAAAAATTATTTTTGGTTGCGGGGCTCAATTACAATCATTTTTTGTGAATATACGTAACCCTGAAATCCTACCCACTTTCGAGAAAAAAATTCGAGTAGATACTGAAATTTTTAGACGAAATGAAAAAATTTCAAATCATACTAAAAAAATTATATTTAGTTACAGGGGTCAATTACAAGCATTTTTGGTGAATAGACATACCCCCGAAACCCACGCACTTTCGAGAAAAAAATTCTTTAACAAAAATCTAATGTGAGGCTAGAAATGCTCCCCTGAAAAATCTTTAAAATGTCATAACTCCTGAACGGATTGAAAGATTTTAATGTTTCAAAAAGCAAACGACGCATATTTTAGTGAAGAATATGTAGAAATTCTAAAATTTTTGGAAAAGTTATTCCTTGACTCCACAAAATGAGAAAAACTCCATAAAAATGGTCCAATTTTCAAACAGCCATAACTCCCACAATAGTGAATATATTTCAATGAAACTTTTTTCTGAAGCAGAGCCCATGGGTACCTACAAAAAAGTATTAGACAACTTTCCCGTAGAGTGTCAAACAAATTTATTAAAAATGAAAAACTAATTTTTAAGGAAAATCGACAAGGGTGTAGGTGCCAAAATTTTTCGGTAAAATTGAAAAGTTTCAAATCACTCTGGAAAAATTATTTTCGATTGCAGGAGTCAATTGCAATCATTTTTGGTGAATGCAGATACCTCCGAAATCCTACTCACTTTCGAGAACAAAATTCGAGAAGATATGAAATTCTTCAACAAAATTAAAAAATGTCATATCTTTCTAAAAAAATTATTTTTGGTTGCGGAGGTCAATTACAATAATTTTTGGTGAATAGACGTACCCCAGAAATCCTACCCATTTTCTAGAAGAAAATTCAGTACGAACGGAACTTTAAACGTTAATAACCGTTTAACGAAATCTCAATCAACAAATTAGCATTCTTGATTTTCGTCTTATTTTGGCCTGTAGAATCTTCCATTAAAATTTTTCCCAGGGATGGCCAAACACCCTGTATAAACATACACAAATTTAGTATGCACAGCTGTTTACGTATGATTTATAGTATAAAATATTTGAATGATATTCGAAGTATACACGATGTTCGAATATCCGGATATAGAAAAGTTCGAGTAGTCCCAACGAAGTACTTATATAGAGTGGGCCAAAATTCGTAAGTCGAGAATGTGGAATATCATTTTACACGTAGCTTCGTTCTCGATAAAATCGATTTCGAAAATTCATCGAGTACGCGTGTAATTAAGTACTTTGCCTGATGTGTTCTTGGCCCACCCAGTATCTTGCAAGAAGCTTCTCCTTTTTTCTATTTCTGTAGTTTATCATTCACGTATTAACTAGGGTTAGGATTATTTGAATATTGTGCAGGTATTCGAACGTTACGGATAAACTTCGAATATTTAAATCTTCAAATATCACTGTTCGAATATTATTTTTCGAATATTTCGCTGTGGCTTAAATTAAGCTTCTTTACGAGGTCCAACCAACTAATCTTATCACGTATTATCAAAGGAGCAATAAACTAATTGAAATTATCTTTTCCAAATTAAAGAACTTCGTTCCACGCCACGCGATTCGAAATATTCGAACAATTTTCAGTCTAGTATTCGAATCGTTGAAACGTTCGAATATAGAACAATTCTACAAGTAGTTTCAGTCCTAGTGAATTCGATATTTGAATACTTTGCATCTCGAATTCGTTTGTTCTTCGCTGGAAGCTTTTTATCGATTCGACCAACTTTAGCGTTAAGTCTATCCTAAATGTCTTAAGCAACAACTTGGCTACTCTCGATTAATGTTTCCCTACTGGGTCATTCCATGCGAAATGGGACACTTTTCGGAGTACCATGTCGGATTTTGTTCTACTTTGAATATGTTGTAGTCTTTAGTGATATATAAACGTATCTCGAAGGATTTTTAAAAATTTTAAAAATTGTTGGTTTTACATCTGTTTGAAATATAGAGCTCACTTTTTTTCAATAAATAATAGCTGCTAAAGTAAGGAAGTTATAAAAATGAAATTTTAGGTACTTGTAGCAGACCCATGGGAGTATCAAATAAAAATTATTTCAATTAAAAAAAAAATTTTTTTAACTATTTATTTTGCAATTGTTTACAACAAATGTCATTTTTTTATAGCGGGGACATATTTAAAAATCTGAAAAAAAATGGGCATATAGTCCTGTTTGTCCCCTTCACGGACCAAGTTTTAAAAATACGGACACTTTAAAATTGGCCTTATAAAAATTAATTGAATGGAACGCTGCGTCGCGTCGTGACATGCTGGCTCGACCGGCCAAGTCGCGCAGTGCCTGCAACCGCCAAGCGGCTATACCTGCTATTGTTATACATAGGGTGTTGGACTGCTGGAAAATGTAACAGTTATTGGACACTCACTCTTTGTCAATGACACTTAGCATTATACACATTTATGTTGTCAATATTCAATGGGATAGGATGTTCAATGTTCTAGTGGGATAGGATATGATGGGATGTGATGGGATTAGGTTCTGGTTAAGAAATAATGGTTGGATTGTACCAATGATCATCTACCGGATTAAATTGTTTGTTATAAAATTACTTACCTCATAACAGCTACAATTGTTGATTTTTCACTGTCTGAAAAAATTCGGGCAGTTAAATGCGTTACTTCTTTAGTTGGTGTAAATAAGTGAAAATTGTGTGTTCCACAGATTGTTGTAGCCAGTCCACGCCTTTCCAGCAAGAATTCCGAATGTTCCTTATATTCTTCTTTTGAGTTGAATTCAAAATGTACATTTTTAACAGCAACACAGTTTGTAGATGAATTAGAAATCCGATTACCAAAGTTGCAAATTCACGATTTTATTGCAAGAAGTCAAAGCAGCTTTTTTAAATATTCTAAAGAAAATGTAGGACCTGATGAATTTGTTGTCGTCGGCGATTTTGCGGAAAATTATTCCTTCGCTATCCAAGACGAAATCCAAAATTATCATTGGTCCAACAAACAGGCGACAATACACACATTCATTGCATATTATCAGGTGGATATTTGTTTAAACCATGAAAACTTTGTAATTATTTCGGATTGTCTCCAACATGACAGCACTGCAGTCCATTTATACCAGAAGAAATTAGTGGAATTTTTGAAGGAAACACATGGCACAACTATCAAGGAAATCAAATATTTTTCTAACGGAGCATCATCACAGTACAAAAATAAATATAATTTATTAATTCTCAATTTCCATTTTGAAGACTTTGGAATCAACGCCGAATGGCATTACTTTGCAACATCGCATGGCAAAAATGCATGAAATGGTACTGGTGGTTCTTTAAAACGTCTTGCTGCTCGAGCTAGTTTACAAAGACCGTTGGAAGACCAGATAACGACACCACAAAAATTATTTGATTGGGCAACTGCCAATATTAAAAACATACATTTGCAATTCAGCTCAACAGAAGAATATAAGAAACATTCGGAATTCTTGCTGGAAAGGCGTGGACTGGCTACAACAATCTGTGGAACACACAATTTTCACTTATTTACACCAACTAAAGAAGTAACGCATTTAACTGCCCGAATTTATTCAGACAGTGAAAAATCAACAGTTGTAGCTGTTATGAGGTAAGTAATTTTATAACAAACAATTTAATCCGGTAGATGATCATTGGTACAATCCAACCATTATTTCTTAACCAGAACCTAATCCCATCACATCCCATCATATCCTATCCCACTAGAACATTGAACATCCTATCCCATTGAATATTGACAACATAAATGTGTATAATGCTAAGTGTCATTGACAAAGAGTGAGTGTCCAATAACTGTTACATTTTCCAGCAGTCCAACACCCTATGTATAACAATAGCAGGTATAGGCGCTTGGCGGTTGCAGGCACTGCGCGACTTGGCCGGTCGAGCCAGCATGTCACTACGCGACGCAGCGTTCCATTCAATTAATTTTTATAAGGCCAATTTTAAAGTGTCCGTATTTTTAAAACTTGGTCCGTGAAGGGGACAAACAGGACTATATGCCCATTTTTTTTCAGATTTTTAAATATGTCCCCGCTATAAAAAAATGACATTTGTTGTAAACAATTGCAAAATAAATAGTTAAAAAAATTTTTTTTTTAATTGAAATAATTTTTATTTGATACTCCCATGGGTCTGCTACAAGTACCTAAAATTTCATTTTTATAACTTCCTTACTTTAGCAGCTATTATTTATTGAAAAAAAGTGAGCTCTATATTTCAAACAGATGTAAAACCAACAATTTTTAAAATTTTTAAAAATCCTTCGAGATACGTTTATATATCACTAAAGACTACAACATATTCAAAGTAGAACAAAATCCGACATGGTACTCCGAAAAGTGTCCGATTTCGCATGGAATGACCCTACTGTGAAACTACTTCGAGCTCGCGGGCAAACGCAGCTAGCATTTGCATTGCAAATTATTTCTACATCTCGGGACAAACTCGATCGAGACGATCCCCAAACACTGACATTTCTTTCCATTTTCCTTCGGTCGCGTTTCGTGCGCGTAAATTCTGATAAATTATTGCTGAAAAATAGTCGATCATACCATTATACGTATACAAGATGCTCGTTTGAAATAAGATGAAAGTAATCGTGATCGTAGTCCCATTTTAAAAAATATCTTAATAAAAATTGTTTGCCAAAATGCTTGTCCTTTTGAAACAACGTATGTTTCTCTATCGCCAAAAGTAGGCGAATTTGACCACTCTGTTCCGAAAGTACTTTGCCACGAATTGCGTCTGAGATCGTGAGATGTTGATTTCAAATGAGAATACGACCAAGGAAAATAGAAAAACGTTCTTTCCGTTATATCGATTGACTTCGACAGAGATTACCTTAATTACAGGTGACGTATTTACGCGCGTCGGTTAGTCACATATTTAACAATGACGATGTATACGATAAATACCTTAGACACAGACAGCGATATTTGTTGGCCGCGATCGGTCGCCCTATTGTAATGACATCCACATCGAGAACGTGAACTTCTAAAATGATGTCGAGTAGTTTGGTATGTAAATTGATTCGCGATATAACGATCGCAACGATCGATCGTCCGGTCGTTGCTCTCGATCTATACATGTTTTTTAAGTTCGACAGGCTCGTACGAATAATGTTGAACATTGCGAGATTCTAGCGTACGTTTTAACATGATATATGATTACTATTTATCATTATTTAACAATTAACCCCTCCGTGTAGCAATTTTGTCCGCGAATTCATAATAACTTCGTTTCATCTGTTCAGAAATATTGCAAAACCGATTCTATAAAAAACAAACTCGATCGTATCGTGTATTTACGTGAACAGTACGTTTCTTTTTTTATATTATTTATAACGTACCGCGTTATGTACAATTTAATCCCAAACAATAGCAACGATTCGTTCAACTTGGACGATATAAAAGTACAAAGTTGCCACACACAGGAGCACCTAACAAATTTTTCGCAACGGGCGCGTCGTTATTTAAACAACGGTTCGCGAAACCTCTCAGTGATCGGAACGAAAGCTTCCCACAACGAATTGTTCCGGCGATGACGAATCGTGAGCTCCTTGAATTATCAGTAACGAGAAAATATCTTAGATTTTATCTTATTGTCGTATAAAATGCGCGTTTCTTTATGACGTATTTCCAATTTAATTTTACGCTCCAATCATATAATAAAATGCTTTACGTGCTCGTTACTTATCGATACTTTGTGCGATACAACGATTTTTTTTCTTAGTCTTTATGTACTTTCAACTGTCGCGTACCTCCCTCCCCCTCCCCCCTCCCACCGTGCACCCCTAGTTTACATCGACATAAATTCCGTACGTGTAAATAATAATATCGAAAGCAAATCGAGTGAATCCGGATCGAATTGCATTGTTTACTTTCAGTTCGAACGTCGTTCGCGATGTTTGTCCGTTCGGGCGTGTAAAAAGTAGGCGAAATCATTGCGTTTCGTTTCTCGTGTCGCGATCGAGGCGAAAATAGAAAGCGAAGAGTCGCGGGAATTGTAGAAAAAATTTCTGTCGTTCGACGGAAAGGGACGTTGAGAAAGTGAAACAAGTATCTCTCGCGTAGAAAATGGCCGTTGATACGAATTAATTTTCACTGCTGAACCGATCCTTGTACCATTGATTCGTGACTGTCGTCGGTACGGTAATTCCTGTTTTCGAGTGATTTTTATTTCGAAGGTCGACGAGGATTACAGCAGGTCGACAGATTTGATCGTCGATACCGTCCCAATCGTTTCTCGAGATTATTTCAGATTGTGTTCGACGTACAATATTTAACCCTTTAGTCGGAACTATTGCTTGTAAATGGATTCGCGCCAACGTGTCGCGTTAATTGGGACGAGTACTTTCAGATTTGCTTTCAGTTCTCCTGCATCTTTGGTACAGAAAGGGGAATTCCTTGAATTTTATTTGGTGCGGCATAAAAAGCACACGTTTGATTCGACGCATGCAAGTGCAACAAGTCGATCGGTTTTCGAGCGCATAAAATATTTTTTGTTAATGTTCCTTTCGTTCGAGCGCCACCGTGACGTCGCGAAGCAACTGTTGTGCTTTCGGAACAGTTGCCAAGTAAAGGGTTAAGTAACGCTATCGATAAAGTGTATAATTGATAATTGCAATCCTTACACGTACTGTGATATGATTTTCATTCGTCCACGCAGGTTCACGTAGGATTCACGCATGCGCAGGAGACATCGCTCGAGGATGAAATTATTTATAACGTAATTCATCGTCTAGTGCGCTCCAAGGTGAGAATGGCCTTCGTTTAGGGCTGGGACTATTCGAATATTTTATTGGTATTCGAACGTTACGACTAAACTTCTTGTTATTCGAATGTATTTACTCAAATGTTTGAGTACTCGAATATTTGTATATTTGAATATTACTATTCGAGTAAGAAAGTACTCTATTTGAATACTACATTATATTCATACACTCGATCGTGCACAAAATATTCGAATTATTCGTAGGTTTGAGTCTGCAGAAAAATTCGACCAATAGACCCAGCCCGGCTTTGGGCTCGCTTTGTGCACCGTATTTCATTAGAACAACAACCGAACGTTGAATATACTATTAATTTGGGTTCAAAGTTTGCTCGCGATTGTGACATCTTAGGTTATTTAATTCCATTTTGCAACAGCTATAATATCTGTAAAGAAAAGCAGAGTATTCTATACAGGATGTTAGGCCATCTCTGGGAAAAATTTGAATGGGAGAATCTGGAGGCCAAAATAAGACGAAAATCGAGAATAGCAATTTGTTGATTGAGGCTTCATTAAAAAGTTATTAAAAAATTAAATTAAAAAATTTCAAATTATTCTGAAAAAATTATTGTTGGTTGTGGGGCTCAATTACAATCATTTTTGGTGAGTACACGTAACCCTGAAATCCTACTCACTTTCGAGAAAAAAATTCGAGAAGATATGAAATTGTTCAACAAAATTAAAAAATTTCAAATCGTTCTACAAAAATTATTTTTAACTAGTGAGGACAATCACAATAATTTTTAGTGAATACAGATACCTCCGAAATCTTACTCACTTTCGAGAAAAAAATTCGCGAAGATATGAAATTGTTCAACAAAATTAAAAAATTTCAAATCGTTCTAAAAAAATTATTTTTAACTAGTGGGGGCAATTACAATAATTTTTGGTGAATAGACATACCTCCGAAATCCTAACCACTTTCGAGAAAAAAATTCGTCTAGGTGGGCAAATTCTTCGACAAAATTAAAAAATCTCAAATCGTTCTGGAAAAATTACTTTCAATTGCGGGGATCAATTGCAATTATTTTTGGTGAATAGACATACCCTGGAATTCCTAACCATTTTCTAGAAAAAAATTCGTGTAGATGGACAAATTTTTCGACAAATAAAAAATCTCAAATCGTTCTGAAAAAATTATTTTCAATTGCGGGGATCAATTGCAATTATTTTTGGTGGATAGACATACCTCCGAAATCCTAACCACTTTCGAGAACAAAATTTGTGTATGTGGGAAAATTTTATTAATAATTTTTTAGCAATAATTTTGTTAATAACTTTTTAACGAAGCCTCAATTAACAAATTGGTATTCTTGATTTTCCTCTTATTTTGGCCTCTAGAATCTCTCATTAAAATTTTTTTCAGGGTTGGCCAGACACCCTGTATAAGAAAGTCAAGAAATTAATGTATTCTTGGAATTAAGACGACCTTGGAAAACTATAAGACTCGTGAATTATTTTTTAAAGTATTCCATACGTTTCTTTGTACGAATTATATACTTCCGGAGACTATGTTCTGTAACATAAAAAATGATTAAGCTACACTGACTCATATCGTAACGGGACATAGAGCGAGAAAAGCTCCATCACCTTCGGAGTTTTACATTATTCGAATGTTACCGTGTACAGCACCGACAAATATTTATTTACAATTGTGTCAAAAAGCTCCGCGCGTTAACGATAGAAATTTCGTAACAAATGGATTTAGAAACATTTATCTAGACGTCTTTTTACGAAAGAAACGAACACTCAACTTGTGCCTTTAACGACGAAAAGCAATACATTAACCGGACTGTAAAATAACAGTTACTATTACAACCTTTGGTTTTCTCCGTTCTTGTTTGTCGTAATTAATTAAAAAAATGGCACGTATCGTTAAAGCATTCATTGGAACGTACCGGACGCCATAATTATATTTAAGAATTCCTTCTCCTCTGTCAGTTAATTGTTCGTTAAAAAATAACGTACCAAAATAATTGATTTTGCAAAACAACGAACTATAAGCTGCCTCTAGTAGGAGTTAGAAATAACGTCTAATTTACGATTTCCTCGACGCGAATCACCAGGATAATAACTGCGATAGCTAGTATGTACGATCCTTGTCGTTTCTTCGTAATGGACATCTCGGTATAACGTTTACGAAAGTAAATTTAATTTTACTTCTCCTTTTATGTTTTTTATTCGCACGATTTGCACACCCCTGGTTTCTTCCATTCTTCTTACCGCGCTGCATTCGTCACAACCATATCTGCGAACGATAATAATATAAACATCGTTATTATAAATATATCTAAATTACAAACTTTTGTTTGTTAATATTGCTCAGTATTATTTCGTGTGTCATGTATTATACAGGGTGTTGAAAGAAAGGGTCTAAGGTTTTATGGGGCTTGTAGTGCTCGCTGAAACGAAAAAACAATACTTAATCAATCCTACAAAAATAAAAAGCAGAACTTTGGTTTCACATTTGTAAAGACATTCGCTGTGTTTGCCTTTCATCTCGATACAAGAATGTCGACACCCACGAATGGACGTACACTTTCAAATATTCTTTCCGTGTTTGGTATACACATGCATGTTCAATCCTAAAAAAGAAATCCAGAGGATTCGAGTCTAGGGATCGACTAGTGCTACATCAGTACCTACTAAGTATTTATTTTTTAACACCCTGTATATCTATGTTAATACTGCTACTACTTGGGACAAGAAGCTTTAATCATTCTGAACGATGCATATAACGTACCCAGTAATCAGTAGTAGGAAAAGAATCACTTTAAAGACCCAAGATTCTAAAAAGGATAAAAACCGATAACCGCATGAATGTTTGTTTCACAGATGTTTTCTTAACCTACGATTTTTCTGTTATATCATTCTAAATAATTGTTGCAAGGCTGAAGGAAGAATCGATTCCTTTATGACGGGGAACGTTGATTTTTCCTTCGACCTGAGCAACAAGCAAATCGTCTCACCTCTTTGCTATGTAGTACTAGTCAGACGTTTTCTCCGCTTGGTTCTGCATTTTTTTGTTGCGTTTTCTCTAGCTTCTCCACTTCCTTCTCCTTTTCCTTTTCCTCCTGCTTTTCCTGCTTTTCCTGCTTCGACTCTTCCACCTTTTCAATCTGTTGCTGCTCCTTTTCCTTCTCTTGTTCCTTCCCCTTCTGCTTTTCCTTTTCCTTGTCCTTTTCCTTTTCTCTTTCCTTCTCCTTCTCCTTTTCTTTTTCCTTTTCCTTTTCCCTGTCCCTTTCCTTCTCCCTTTCACGTTCTCGTTCCCTCTCCCTCTCTGCTTTCCGTTCCTTCAGGATCTCCATCCTGCGTGCCCTGTGCAAGCTCCCGGAAGGAAAAGTCGAATCCTCGACCGCGGCAGCCGCGGCCGCGCTCGCTCCTCGCTCCACGGCTGTCTGCTCAATAATTTACTTCACTGTATTTTCAATATGTTCTCACCGTGGAACAGATTACACGGAAAATTAAGTAAACGTCCCAGTGGTTGGGAAATTATCATTATTTTAATATTAAAGAAAAATTTGGACACACACTGGAGGTTTCGAACCCGCGATCTTTGGATTACCAGCTAGTTGTCCTGCTCGCTGACCCAACGCTACCTCGCTTTTTTTTTTTGGTAATAATGACTCTTTTTAATTAATTAACTTTTTTTTATGTTTATGGAAAGCTTGATATCAATAAATATTTACAGCAGGGACGTATCCGATCACTGGAACATTTACCTTAAACGCGTCTGGGTTAGAGCAGCTTAGGTACATACTTTCAATATAAAACTGGCCGTTGAACTCTTGGCAATGGGACTCTGCGCCGAGGACGGATGGACGTGACCGTGGCCGTGAGTACTAAAGTACCCGCCAGCTTTCGGTTTTATGTGACGATTGTACATCTCCATGTGAACGATTTTCATGAATTCGATCTGCGCCGCTAGCTTCTGGATTTCCTCCTACAGAAGCGCCAGCACGTTTGGAATACCAGTTTATTTAAGATAAATATAGGGAAATCAAACAACAGATAATTTAATCACCTTAAGTTCTTCATTTTCTTGAATCAAGTCTGTGGTTTCCTCTGGTACCAGACCTGTTCCATTTAACGAGAAGCTCGCTGTAATGCCACGAGCCCTAGCACGACTATCCCATTGATCTCCATGGCCTCGTAAAACTCGAATTACCTGAAATCATGCAAAATATATTCGAATATTTACTTAAACAGTACACGACTCCTACAAATGTGTGTTTGAAATTTTAACAATAAAGAAGACGGTGTTCTTTATCGAATAGAAAATTTATTAAAGCGATATGGGTTACCTTGGGCCCGAACACGAGAAACACAGTTACGGAAGTGGAAAGTTGCGTGCGCAGGAAGCCCAGTAAATACTTGATATCTGGCCCAGCGTGAGGGAAAATGAAAAGGCTGCAAAGAAACGAAGCAATATTACATTTTAAACTGACAACGTCGGGGTTGAATATTTCAGAAATGAAAATTCATACTGAATGGCTATCATGGTTATATTCACAGCAGCTATGTTGTAAATTGCATAGCTTATTAAACGGGCCTCGTTGAAGAGACTCTCTGCGTTGCGGACGTTGTAACACACTTTGATGCCCCACGCAAGGAACATAATCTCTCCTGTAAGAACGTGTCGATTAAAATTACGATTTCTTTCGTTAACACTAAACCTACCGACACTTCGTTATATCTATTCCTACCATGATCAGTCAAATGACCAGTAGGAATTGCTAAATATTCTTTAGGTATATAATGTTAAAGTAAATGTTAAAACAAACACAGAAGACAGCATAAAAAATAATAGTTGATATGGTCATCGGATAGGGGATGAAATGCCCTTTAAAATGAGCGTTCGTACGAGTCGATAGCTTTATTAGTTCTGGAGATATAGCGATTTTAGTTTCAAGTCGATGCGGTGGCTAGTTTCGGAGATAAGGTTTGTTTACGTTTCAAAGTTGCGCTCGCGCGAGTTCATTGATCTCGCGCGCGTCGATAGTAAACAGTGCGTAGTAAATTCTTGGAAATACTACGCCGGAACTGGGTCACGACAGTCACGTACGTAAGACAAAGAGGTCCGACTCCGCTAGACAAAGACAGAGATAGTCGAATTGAAAAAATTACCTTTCACATAAATTGCGATATCTCGAAAACGAAAAGTCCGATCGACAAAAACCAAAAGCCATTTTAAAGGGGAGACTTTACCGCTTCTAACAATAGTTCAATTACTAATAAAACAATAGTAGTTTCGGAACTGTATAACACGCGTTCTAAGTCTGTTGTGAGACATTGAAGATTCTCTCCTTTCATCTTTGCTACATATTTCCGAGTTTTTTCGTGGTTGGTTTAGTGTTAATATCGTTGTGTAATTTGTAAAGTATCATTACCGATTGCTAAACTATGGTCCCACCAATTGAACGAACATTGATAAAACTTGAGACCATAGTTGTCGGCTATCACCTCGGCGGATGGCGGCGCACTTAACGTCCACGTGCCAAGGTATATTAACATCACTAATAATATCGGGACCATCCATTGCAGCAGCTGTTTGTCCGTGAGTTTGACCTTGTGCGCGCTTTTCACACGGTACGTGAGGGAAACTCTGCGGGGAAAAGATTTTCTTTAAATTTTAATTTCTGAGCAAATCATGCTTCGAGGTTCGAACTAAAAATAGCAAATTCAATACAGTGGATGGCGTATTAAAACGGGGGTCGTTAATATGAATTTTGATAATATCAAATTCAAAATTACCGCCACGTTTTCATCAACAACGCCGTGTAAGAGATGCAGAAACCGAGGTGTCTCGTCCATTTCGTGGCGATGCAGGAGTACATGTCCAATACGGGAAATATGGCGGCCATCTGAACGAAATATGAAACGACGATTTCGTTATGTTATTGTTCTCGATGCAAGAGTAGTGATAAGAAATGTTATACGTACCTCGAGGTACATAATTGCACAACCTAAAAGTGTGATGGACAGGAATATCGGCGAAGCAACCTTGAACACTTTGAGCTTGCGGTGTTTATACATATAGGCCACGAGGATGATGGTACCGAACACACAGAAAATAGAAAACGATAGAAGGGTGATTCTGAAAACACAGGTTCGATTAGTTGGCAAAGCCTGAAATGAATTCACAATTTTGTATTTCGGAAATTAACGAAATTTGCACAGAGGGCTGTATTTATTTTATTTAACGAATTCAATGTAACGTGAATGCACGAATATATTTTGCACATTCTTCTGGAAGATCATTATTGTCGTTTGTCTTCGAAATTAAGAATTCAAGGTATTCGGTCGTGTGGACCCATCCTAACTATCTAACTGAAGAATACGTTTAAAACTTTTCGTTAAGAGAAATTTGAATAATTACCTAATTAATCAGCTTCTTAATAAGAATTCCCCCTTAAAAGACGATTCATAAGTCTATTCGTTGAAAGAAATATTCTTCAGTTATTTCGTTCAGTTAAAAGGCAGAGTATTTTTAACCTTTTGCACTCGGATACTTTTCTCTTATTACCTAATACTACACCTCAAATTAAATTGTATATCATTGGAAACGATTATTTTATTCGATCGAAAAAAGGAAAAACAAACTTTCACGCCTTACATTTCTCTTTTATACGACAACGTTTGAAACAATTTTCGATAATTGGAATGAGTAACGCTATAATAATTGGTCATTTTTTTCTATTTGAACGTACAAGTATTATGTTACATAAAAGGAGAACTTTTTATAGAATTTTATTTTGTTGCAAAGAAGCATGAAAGCTTACGTACCATCAGTTGATGTTTTCTAATTATTTATTTATTCTGTCGTACAATACGTCGTTCACTGAATTTAAGATGTTCCCAAACAGAGTACAACCAAGTGCAAAGGGTTAAATTTCAATTATGCGAGATACTCGAATCTTTCAAATTCGCAATAGATAAATGTCGCAAAGAGGAGATATTTAGAACGATTAAAAAATATTTCTCCATTTCACTCGTACCTAAACGGCCAGTTGTACGTGGCCAAGCAAGGCTCGGGTCCTTTGCACTTAGCGCAGCCGGGTGCGCAACGCAAGCAATGAAACACCTTTGCGTAAGAATCGCTTACGTTTTCTTGCATTTCTTTCCAGGCGGCTGAAACATTTACGCCCTGCGTGAGTTAGAGAACGTTACGAATGTAATTCCCATAGCAGAATGTTCGCCACTGACCTTCAACGAGAATCCCATCAAAACCAGATCGATGTTGACTCGTGCTGTAATAGCCCTTTCGACATTTACATACATATGCACCCTTTGCCCATCTACCACCGACACCGACATTATATGGACTTTGATATTCGCACTGAAAACCATACCAAAATCGTACCAAAACCATTTGAACCGTTTAAATATGCATGATCCATACAGTCGAGGCTTAGGAAGCTTAGGGGTCTGTGTAATAAACGTAATGCAAATTATACGGATTCTGAAATTAATATATGCCCCTAGAAGAACTAAGAAGGGGAGTAATAACTAAAAAATAGAGTAAATAGTGGTTATGAAAACGATAATACTATTTTATTATTCTCAAGCTCGTTTGAATTTTTCTATTAAATAGTTATTATATAAAATTTGTCTAGTGTGCTCGTTTTAGAGTTTAACTTCGAGTATTGGAATTAATTCAAATTTACAAATACACTGTGATCCACGATTAATTACAATTGGAATATGTTCTTTTAGAAATTTCCTGTGCAATAGTTACCTGTGTAGTGTCATTATGACACTTGTGCGTCCCTTTAAAAGATGCTATTTGATTGTTTAGCGCTTCATTGTCGGTATCTTGCGACGATACGTCGCACTGGTTCACTTCTAATCCGCTAATGTCGATGTCCACGCTTAAAAATTCTCGAACCCTTCAACAAATTGCAATCTTGTTACCATTTGTCGTGACGGAAACACAAAATACTTTTTCTTCGCTCTTTGCATTGGTTTAAATTTTCAAGTAAACGATTCCACGTTTTTGGAACACCGAGCGGGAAGGTTAACAAAAAGTAAAAGTTAGCGTTCAGGTCATGGCGACGCTGATGGATTCGTCGGCGAAGCTTGCTTTAAACGCAGTTAAATTTTACCCTGGCTTTAGAGTTTGCGAGTCGAACTTTCAGTAACGAACTAAAGGTATTAACAACGGCCATTTGGCGGCGAATATAGGGAAAGGAAAATTCGCCTAACTTCTCAGCCAGGAGCGATAAAATATCGAAGTTTATCGGAAGTTCGTCGCTTAAACGAATAACGCGAAGAGTAATTTTATTAATCCCTGGTAAACGCATTTTCCTAAATGTATTTGATAAACGGGAGATTGCTCTCGGGATGCGATCGGGAATCGTATTATTTTAATTTATCGTGAATAGAATGTTTACAAACCCGTGTCGTGAGTCCAGTGGTAGTATATTAACGCTGTAGGAGATCAACCAGCGATGACTTTTGCAAGAGAAATACGGGATGGTCCACCAACCCCTGTAGGATTCAATCGCCGGTGACTGCATGAATTTCGGTGACCTGGGATAACACGCAAACGCCACAAAACCGCCATAGAAACTTCGACCTTTTGGCGCACGCGAGATTCGTGCAACCATCAATATAAGTTGCCTTCCCTTAAATTTCGTGGTCCTGTGGCACTTCACGGTCATTCGATAGACGAAAATTAATCGAGTTTCCAACGCGTTCGCAATTATCGTCTGAATGCATCCACGTTCGAGGATTTAGCTACCCGTTAAATAGCACGGGCCACATATTAACGCGAACGTATTAATTCCCCGTAGGTTGATTAAAATCAAAGCTCGAGCTGGCAAACCACCGTGCACGAAGCATATTAGAATTTTTAATAAATGTTTCGACCATAGATTCAGGCCTTCCTCGTCGAAATTTAAAATATATTACGCCTAAAATGTGGTCAGAATTCTTGTTCGTTTTAATAAATATTAACAGTCGATAGGAGTTCACCCAAACTGTATATATTTTACGTATTCGTGCCCGGAATAATCGTTCTACACTGTATTCGACAGTTCTACGATGCACGCTATAAATATTCTCACATGTACGTTGATATATGTATATTAAAAAGCTTCTAAGGGTACACCGATAGCGTATTGATTATCGCGGATGTCTGTTTAAGCGTTTATATCCCCTTTCAAACTGAAAATCATGTTCGTGTTCCGTGCGTAGAACACTTTGTTGCTGACTCTCTCGATCGTAATTACCCAACAGGATGATTTACGATTATTTATTAGCGTAATTGCCACGGTGACACGGCGAGTACTCTGTTAAAATTATTTATTGTCTTATTTTTTCTAAGACAAACGGATGTAAAGTTGATCAAATTCGACTATATTTTGATCGTTAGTAACGTTGTCGTAAATCTTCGAACTTTGAAACATTCAGACGTTACGACGTTCAGAATGACCGCGACTTTTCCGTCGAATTTGAAGGCCAAACCTGAAATCGCGCACCGTTTCTGCATTTTCGCGAATCGAGTTTCTATGACTTGACGCTCGTACGGGATGATGAAGGATGATGAATGATCGTGGAGCGCCTAAAAAATGCTCTCCTCCCGGTAAAAATGCTGGTCGTTGCTGTGCTCCAACGAAAGTTATATACTTCGAAGAGATATCGCGTCTGTTTGAACGAAAACAGCAATTAACGCGTTTCGTTAAAATAATAATAGCAATTTAATCAAAAATAATAATATCAAACACGATGCTCGAGTCACAAAGGCTTAACCTATGATTAATTGAGCAGCGAAATGGTTAATCATCCACCATGTAGAAATCGTCTTTTTACCGGGAAGGGAAAATAAAAATCATGTATGAAGGGTGATGTGCAGAACAGAAAGGTGTTTCATACAGTCGGATAAAACTCAATTGATCGCTCAAGGTTATTTTCCCCCACTGTGAATCGCGCCAAACATGCACCGTATTTTGTCGTTCAAAAGACAGGGGGCAACAATCTACACGTTTGTGAAAAAACAGACTGTTGATCAGAATACCTAAAAAGGTAAAATATATCGAGAGTGATTAATGTCAGATTATAGAAAAAATCAGGAAACACAACGATAGTAAAGGAAGTTTATACTTTGAGTATATCGATTAATAAAACTTAAAATAAATCACTACGTAAACATATGGATGGAAATTATGTATTTACAATGACAAGTACAGTATATTTTTTTATTACTGGTAAAATTAATAGTAAGAATATCGTTCAGGTGTTCTGTCTTATGTGGACCACTGTTTATAATATTATAAAACAAAAGAAAATTATAAAACATTGGAAATCTTGTATAGTTTGGAAACCACTGCTTTAGTGGCTTCGAGCGATGAATTGATTTTGTCCTAACTATAGTACGTATGCGTGCGTGCAGGTGGTTGTCGTTTAAAAAGCAACGTGCGAATATGTAACCATTTGTTAATAAAAACCGACTAAAAGTATGAGACTTGGTTTATAGTAACTTTTCACGACAGTTTCGATATTTATTTTACTCAGAAGCATTTTATATTGTTCCACTATTGTTATTTCATACGATACCAAAGATAATAGATTTCCTTCTAGTGCTCTGTTTTATTTGCAGTAACGTAAAAAACACGATATTTTTGCCAACATCGCAACATGCTTCAAATTATCACCATGCAGACAAGAAATATTAAATTCTGCAAAAATTTCTGTTAACGTTTCACGATTCTCTCTTGACAAAATATATTTTATCGTAGAAAGCTCAAAAATACGAAGAGTCGAGATCTTTAATAAACACACGAAACTCTGTACTCTTGATACCATTGTACATTAAAAAGAAGTGATGTTTCATCGATTTTTTAAACGTCGAACAAACAGATATCGAAAGTTGAATTTGTCCTGCATTTCTCCGAAGAATCAGTGACTTTTCGAATCGATCAGAGTATTGAATGCGAAGAGTCGCTTTCTCGAGGTATTATAGCTCGAAAGATGTGGCGCATGCAGAATATTATGAGAGGGTGCATTTGACACACCGATGTGCATCGGATGTTGAAAACGACGTGACAGATTAATCGAACCTTAACCCCGTGGTGGCACCCGCATTCTCGAACCACGGTAAAGTTGGATCAGGTGTAGATCCTGGCTGGAGCTCGTGGCTCTCGACCTTTGAGGGTTCACCGACGCTACCTGGGCTCCTTTCCAACCGAACCGCGTTGATCACAGTCCCCGTGGACATGTTCAGCGCGATCACCCTCGTCTCCACGGCGTCGTTCACCGACATCAGCAGAGACTTCGCCAAAGCATCTAAAAACACTAACCAATCTTCCATATAAGCCACTTTTCAATTTCCACAAATTGTACAAATCAAACCCCTTAACGCTCATATTTTTCGGGTTAACCAACAATGATCAGTTTTGTTTATTGGATTTGTTTCTAAAAATATGGTTTTTTTAATTACAATGTTGTATCTAACGTATAATTTGAAGGAAAACAAATATTATCATCCCTTAAACCGTTGGATTAAACAAATATTGTTTTTCAAAGCAGTCAGACTCGGGCATGATCGTTAAGGGGTTAACAACGTGTGTACCAAAGGGTATAGCCGAATAAGGGGGTCAAATGTGCCCCCAAACCGAATGGAACGAGCCACGGGTCATTCGATAGCAAAAAAAAAAATAACCCCTGTGTGCAAATTTTTAACTTGAAATCTCGACCGTGGGGGTAGTAATGGGGTGAAAACGAAAATCATGTTTTTGAATTATTTCTCTTGACCTATTGAGTAAAAAAATGTAAAAAAATTCAGAGACATTTCGGGTACCGGGGCACATACTTTGGGAGATTTTCAGATTTTTTGATTGAAGAACCAGGTAGTGAAAAATAAAAAACAGCAAAAAATGCCGAAAAATGCCGATTACGTATTGAAGGAGGCCCGGAACTACTTTTATACTTTTACAGTAAACAGGTATTACTATTACTATTATTCTCAATTTTTTTCAGATTTTTCATTTTGGTGCGCCGCAGTGAAAAAAAATAAAAACCGAGTTTTTCCGCATTTTCTGCGTATTAGAGTAACTTACACGTTGAATTTTTATGCATCCTTCAATATATAAGTGTTTTGTAGACTGTTTAATGTTTCTACACTAAGCAGAATTACATGACAATTGAAACAAATAAAATAAAGCCAACCATTGGGTGTATATATCCTAAAAAATCAACGATATTTTCAACGGCGTCGACGGCGCAGCGTTAGAGTGTCCGACTGCTGAATCGCTGGAAGTTTTTTACCGTAGGTTCGAGTCTCTCTTCTGGACGTTAGATACTAAAGCCGCAGCAAACATTCATATTTATCAAAGAAAGAGAACGAGAAGGAAAGATCTGCTTGATCGAAGGGCGAGAAGAAGTAATAGTAAGCCAATGTACAATTTTCTGCTCCGATCCATTCACAATAGTCAAAGGTAAGAGATTTGAAAACTAACATTTCACATTAATTTCAGTGTAAGAGATGTTAAACAATAATCGTGGTTAACAAAAAAAATAAAAACGCAAAAAACACTTGAAGACTATATTTATACATATTTCAGGTTAAAATATTTGTAAAATGCTATCAGAACATTTATAAATAAATATAAAGCATTGTTATATAGTTAGAATTTGAAAAAAAAAATAATGAAGAAAAAAAAATACTAAGTCCAGAAGAGAGACTCGAACCTACGGTAAAAAACTTCCAGCGGTTCAGCAGTCGGACACTCTAACGCTGCGCCATCGACGCCGTTGAAAATATCGTTGATTTTTTAGGATATATACACCCAATGGTTGGCTTTATTTTATTTGTTTCAATTGTCATGTAATTCTGCTTAGTGTAGAAACATTAAACAGTCTACAAAACACTTATATATTGAAGGATGCATAAAAATTCAACGTGTAAGTTACTCTAATACGCAGAAAATGCGGAAAAACTCGGTTTTTATTTTTTTTTACTGCGGCGCACCAAAATGAAAAATCTGAAAAAAATTGAGAATAATAGTAATAGTAATACCTGTTTACTGTAAAAGTATAAAAGTAGTTCCGGGCCTCCTTCAATACGTAATCGGCATTTTTCGGCATTTTTTGCTGTTTTTTATTTTTCACTACCTGGTTCTTCAATCAAAAAATCTGAAAATCTCCCAAAGTATGTGCCCCGGTACCCAAAATGTCTCTGAATTTTTTTACATTTTTTTACTCAATAGGTCAAGAGAAATAATTCAAAAACATGATTTTCGTTTTCACCCCATTACTACCCCCACGGTCGAGATTTCAAGTTAAAAATTTGCACACAGGGGTTATTTTTTTTTTGCTATCGAATGACCCGTGGCTCGTTCCATTCGGTTTGGGGGCACATTTGACCCCCTTATTCGGCTATACCCTTTACATTTTCTTCCAACTGTCCAAGAAAAGAGTATAGTTTTCGTAGACAATTTGAAGGGATTTGGTCTGGCAGTCGTGTTAAACATTTGGAATCGACGAGCTAGCAACGCTTATATGTTTTTAAACCGTTGAATGAGAGTTGTCTAGTTTGCAAATGGATTTGTTTAGAGTCGAACCGTTCGTTGGCGTGCGTTTGGAACAATTTACGAGCCGTTTGCAATATTAGGCTGCACGTGTAACTGCCAAGCTGTGCAACTACGATCGATGCGTCCCTATGGCGCGCATATTCTCGTTACCATTTCAGCCGATGGAATTCGGTTAGGCGATGATATACCAGGCCCTGTACAAATTGGACTGTTGACAATGTGGTTCGTCATCACGCGCAGATTATTGGTAAAATCGATTTTACGTCTGCCCAGTGGATTGCCGCGGAACGAACGTGAATTCGATAACATCGAAGGAGATTTCTGCCATTTTCGAACACCGTTTGTCATTACCCGCGACGACTTTCGAAAAGTGCACGGGAAATTTCCGCGAGAAAGAATCACGAAACGATGAGCTTTCGCGGAAGAGCGTAATAATGCAGGGATAAGTAATTTATTCACGATCTTCGTTTCGCGTGGAGCTTTAAGGGCTGTCTTTTGCTTAACTCGAGCACCTTAAGTGTCCCAGGGAATCTTTTATCGTTCTCGACGTTAATGAACATCATTTTGACCATTTTCCCACATTTTAAATACCAGTTTCTTTGACACGATGGATAATTAGACCAATAAAGTTTTTCTGAATGGTCGAATAAAATTTAATACGAAGCAGAGTAAATCTGAAGCGAAAAAGCTTCGTCTCGTATGGTTTGGCTGACGTTGGAACGCGTTGCTGGGGGCGGATTAAAAATTAATATGTATTTTAGTTAAGTGCAAGACGTAGTGACCCGAATAAATTAGAAAAAAGGTAAAACTTTGGCACGGATTGACGTGCAACAGGTGCAGGAAAGAACCGTGATATGTAAATTATTTGGCGAGCACGGGGCTCGCGATACATTCGCTCGGGATAAGCGAGTATGGCACATGTTGCTCGCGCGGAAAAAGTGTCAGATTAACTCGATTTAAAACGAAAATACCCAGAAGAAATCGTTTTCCAGTCAAGATGGTGTCGTATAAATACACGTTTTCAGTGTTTTGGGGATGCAATTGACAATTCCTAAGAAATTTATGTGAAAAACACAAAATATTCAACAGTTCAATGGCACTAACGTTGTTAAAAAATTAGTTAAATATACAGGGTGTCCTTGCATCGGAAAGAGTGATTCTAGATGAGAAAATAAAGAATGAAATTTTTTCATTTAAGTTTTCGTTGTCGAGAAAATCAATTGTGAATTGATCTCGATACAATAAGCACCAATATCATTAGTATCAACATGATGTACTGTGTTACCTCTGTTTATGGATTTAAAGTAGATTTAAATGAAAATGAGTCATGCAATTTACTTATTAACACATTGACTGTCATATATGGGTGCTACAAATTTTCACTGATAAGGTAAAACAATGATTTCTTAAGATTAGATGTTAAAAAAAAGTAAATCTTAATTGGACACTTAAATTTTAAAGAGCCTGTAAAGATCAGTTCCACGACAAATTGTTTCTAGTTTTCAATTGTCCAAAAAGAGTATCGTTTTCGTAGACAATTTGAGGCGTTTGGTCTGGCAGTCAACCTGTTAAACTAACTTAATACATACAAAAATTGTTAAAAATTGCTCATCGTGCTACACATACAACTCTCTAAATTAGATTTGTATGAACTAATGGATTCTAACGTATTCTGTATCTTCAATTCTTCAAATGCCAAATGATTCTCGCTTTTAATTGAGGAGTGCATAAAACAGTCTTCTTATACTCGTCTGTTTTAACATGATTAGTCATAATTGAATAACATACTAAGACAACAAATAAAATTACGATACGTGCTCAGGAAATCATGTCAACATGAGTGTACAGAAGTACAAAGAACATAATAAAAGTATCGAAATCTCTTTATCTAAGCCATAGCTATACTCAGGTGAATATTCAAAGTTGATTTTCTGGACAACGAAATCTCAAATGAAATAATTTTATTCTCTATTTTAAATTTGTTTCTTCATGCAAAATCACCTCCTTTCTGACGCTGAGACACCCTGTATAGTTGATCCATTCTGAGTGTCTGATCTTTGATAAAATAAAATATTTCACTATTCGGGAATAAAAATTCAACGAACCGATCGAACAAATAAATTGCTGTACATTGATTTCTCGTTCGTTGTCTATTATTTGAATAAAATTGTACCCCTAGACGTAGCTTCTACAGCTCTCCCGTCCACCAATCCCGTTGCTGACTCCGATCACGGCATAAATGAATATGGAGGGCATATTAATTCCGACATGAAAGAGAATACGTATACAGAAACCTATTCTGAAATGTTCTCGGAATGAAAATATTCCATAAAATGAATATGTATACGCGCAAAGTATTATACGTAAATTTTCTAACTTTCCTGCGCCGTAAGAATCGTCGAACGAAACCGATTCGACCACGAGTTTGTCTCTAATTATCGTTGCCTCGAGAATCGAGCCTCCATTAACGATTCAGAATTTTTCAAACAATTGGAACTTAGTCTCGTCGGTCCGTAAAACATTTCTCCACGTTTCAAACGTTTAATTTTCGTGCTCCTCCGGCCACTGTGAGCACGTCTCGAGAGCGGTTTCCGTGCTACGATTCGACCATGCAATCCAGCAGCTGCTAATCTACCCTTCACCGTGCTCGCGGATAATGGAGTTTCCGGAGCAGTATTCATATTTGCCTGAATGTCTAGGGCTGTAAGCCGTCTATCTCCCCCAGTCGTTACTTTTATTCTAAGATTCTCGCGTTTCGGTCGTTACTTAAGGCCCCTCTGATCTCTACTGTGACAGAAGAGACCTAGTTTCTTCAGATACCTTGATACGATCATTTTCTCCCCATTAATTCCCAGAAATAATTACTCGAACGATCCCAGCGTAGCTCAAAGAACAAGGATATAGTCCTTGGGGTAGTTTTGGGCGACTTGTACGCGATACGCGTACGATTGGATATCGATTCTGCACGGGTAAACTCGATGGAAACGTTTCAGACGTTTCTCGTCGAAACAGCTTTCGGAGGAATAAAAAAACAAGCTCTTCCAAATAATAAAATCGCTACGTATTCGTTAATTGCGTTGACAGTTTGCAGATTCGAGTGTTCTTTGATTAAAACCTGTTTCGTTCGCGTTGCAATTTCCAGATCGTTATTCCCGACTCACCGTTGTGCCTCGATGGTCCGATAGTGCCAGAATTTTGGAGCGTCAGAGCAGTCATGTCGGCTTTCTGGCGTGCAGTGTCGTAACGTCGTGGATCAAGGGCTGCAGCAGCTGGCAAAGACTTAAATCCAGCAGTCGCGGCACAGTATTCCCCCAATGATCCGGTCGACGCCGCTTCTATCACATCCAACGCTTCCTCGATATCCAACTTTAAAGCAAAGCATTTTATTCAAAATATTACAATACGTGTCTCCCTTGAAAACGAACGTTTGAACGAAATCTTTGGATAGCAGCATTTTAGGGATTCTTTGAAGAATAATTATTATTTAGTCTCGACGAGGGAAAATTGATTGAAATTTCAATCGGAGCGGATATTTACCTTTTTCGTATCGACAACGTCGTTGTTGGTGGTTGTCGAGAGGGACGACGCCGAGGTTGGAGTGGCCGTCGTTACGGTGAAGTACGCCATCATTGTCATTGTCGTCATCGTCGCAGGAAACAGGACCAAGAGCCAAGATTTGCCCATCCCGCGTCCTGCTCATTTGTACTTGGAGGCAAACATGTTCGTATCAATTTAGTTACTATCGATTTGCGATACCATCCGTGAAATACTATTTCTCTGTTTGACATCGTCTCGTATACAAGCGATTTAAAAACGATTTAAACAATGGTGTTTTATATTCGAACCATTCATCGTCAAATAAAATGATATTAAACACAACATTAGACACAGTTAGCTTTTCTCCAAGTCCTTCGTGTTGCAATTTAAGTAACAACTGTCTGGATTTTGATATGAGAAAAATATTCCAGTTCGTTTAAGAAATTTGTTTAATTAAGCATTTATTCACTTGGTTTCTGTATCGTATCTGCAGTGAACATTTTACGATAAAACCTAAGCAACTCAACTAAATAATGCAACCTCGATAAAATATCACAGTTTTAATGTAACGATTATTTCTATTGCTTGAGAATACTTTCTCGTCTCTGGTTTGCTCGTAGGTAGAGAGCATGTGTTGCCAATTAAATTAGACAAATTTTCCCCAAATCCCAAATTACAATACTGATGTAACATCGGCGACTGTTCAATTAAGGCAACTCTCCTAACGTGCTGTTGTACATGTCTGAGTTAGGTGAGATTCGTGGCTCGACATTGTCGGATGTCTTCCTGACGTTTCGTGTCAGTCGGATCCCACGAACTCACGCGTGTGTTTCCACTCTACCACATACGATACGTGCATCTGTACACCCAAAAGAATCGAGATACTATAGTTATTTAATCAACGTGGAGAATTTATAACGAACACAGTTATTATACCTGCGTGTTCGATTTATACATTTTTTATGTACAAATAAATATGTCAATCTTCCAAAAATATAGATGCAATTTTCACGAGATAGACGGGATATATCACCGTGCAATACGGACTCGTAGAACGCGACGAACAAATTGCAATAATGCGTTTAAACGTTTCCATAACGCGGAGGCAATTCCAAGTGCAGCAATAAAACGGTGCATCCACCAGTTGTGTAAACACTCGATTACGGATATCTGCGTTTTTATGAAGTGATTCCGTGGTACGACCTTCGTTTGCCTGCTTTCAGAAAGAATCGATCGTATCGATCTTTCCATTTTACGACCTATAAGGAACGCAAGTGTCGCGGAAAATTTCGAAAAAGCTATTCCGATTCAAAGAACACAGAATGAACATTGATGAGTATCGTGATCGTAGAATGTTTTGAAGATAATTTCTTTTACGGAAAAAAACTATTTAACGATCGATAATAAACCCTTTGAAATAAGCATAATTTTACTTTGTAACATCGGTTTAATGATTTGTTTCTTTCACCCTTCCAAGCAATTTTCTGATTAATTACTTCCGACAGTCGTACGAGGAAGGACGTGGATGGCACGTATTAATTATGTGTGCTGTTCCCATCGTGACCAGGATCGCCTCGTGCGTACAATGTGTTCGTTGCACGAGGGTGGCTCATCGACAGGGTAGCATTCGTAATAATTAAAAATTATTTACGTTCGTGTTACAGGCAAATTAAACAGTCTCGTCTATACTGTACGAGATTATATTTTGGACAGTTTCGTGATTCATAAATTAATTACGAATTTCGTGACGGTGCAAGCTCGAAGGGTGAAAATTACGATCTCGTTATTAGACGCGATGATACCTAAAATGTCGTAGAGGAAAATTATATGTGATGACCCTAAATATTCTATAATACAAATTTTCTCTAAACCTCTCACTTTAAATCTTTGTTACATTCTAATCACGATTGCAAAACTGAACGGTAGCTGGGAAAAAATGCAAATTTACAAATCACAGATTTTTTAAAGATCGACTGAAAGATGTTAGAATTCTCTGTGACGTTACAGATTGGATATCTGATAAACGAAATTGCTCTTTTTCAAATGTTTCTTACAAGGAAAGGCTTCGATTTTGATGAAAACCAAAATTCATTTTTTAGCTACGATAACTCGAGCTTAAGGGGTGAAACCACCCCTTGAAGTTTTCGCTCGAAACGGCTATCTCGAAAACGGAAAGACATTCGAAAATATTATTAATGTTTTTTTATGTACAATAACATGGTGTTAAAAAATTGAACAAAATACAATTTTTCCTTTTATTGAAATGACGAACATTTTATTCCAAATCCATTGGTAGATAATATTTAAAAATTCCGTTTCTCCGTTTTCGAGACAGCCGTTTCCGGCCAAAACTTCAAGGGGTGGATTCATCCCTTAAACTCGAGTTACAGTAGCTAAAAAAAATACGTATCGATTATTTTTGGCTGTTTTACAAGTGTACAAAGTTTCACCAAAATCGAAGCCTGACCGTTCGCGAAGGTTCCTCGTTAGTTTAATTTTTAAGACAGCAGACAATCGACGCGATTCGTCAGATCCACGGTCGCGTAGAACCTTAGATACACTCTATTTTTTTTTATATGGTCTGCATTAATTTAATGGACGATCGTCTTGGTCGAGGCCCCCGAGAAGGATAATCTTGAGCTTTACGATCCCAAGCGGATCCGTGCAAAGATAGCGACACAAACACTCTAACGCAAGTTTTAATATAGATATGTACGTGGTTACTTAACGGTATTAAAAGTTCCATATCACGTTCGAACCAACCTTTTTCTTTCGCATTCAAGTGGTGCCGAGTTTGAGCCCCGGGTCCATGGGGCGTTCATCCACTCCCTCCAATATTCTCGACATTTTGCGCGATGGTTCTTTTACTTTGCCTTGATTATCTGCCACTTTCAGCGATCATTCATGGCGAAGAAACGGTCCTGTTAAAACGAGAAGAAAAGGGTATTTTTTTTTTATACTTTTATGAATTATTACGGGAGAGAGGGCACTTAAGATGACCAGCTAAAATGACTTTTAAATTACAGTCAGGGGCAAAATTGAGTGGACACCTGTCCACTTTAAGGTAAAGGTACTGCAATTTAATCAATTTTCCTGATTAACTTGCTTCTTAATTTTTCGTCGTTGTCTACATTGTCGTCGACAAATTTTGTTACCAGTTTCAGAGAATAATAGGCTTCACTTCAATTAGGGATCACTGAAAACTAAAATCGAACAAAATAAATACTAGTAATCATTGTATTCGATATTAATCGATCTTCACAGGATTACTTGATAAAAGTTATTAAATTTCAACGATTCGATGACGTCGATGCTTGTAAATTTATTAAATGTTCGTCGAATTCTTGATGGTACCGTAATTAACGATAAAGGTACTGCAATTTAATCAATTTTCCTGATTAACTTGCTTTTTAATTTTTCGTCGTTGTCTACATTGTCGTCGACAAATTTTGTTACCAGTTTCAGAGAATAATAGGCTTCACTTCAATTAGGGATCACTGAAAACTAAAATCGAACAAAATAAATACTAGTAATCATTGTATTCGATATTAATCGATCTTCACAGGATTACTTGATAAAAGTTATTAAATTTCAACGATTCGATGACGTCGATGCTTGTTTTATTAAATGTTCGTCGAATTCTTGATGGTACCGTAATTAACGATAACTCCATTTCGACGGTTTGCAAAGCGCAAACGAAGAGGGAATTCACCGCGTAGCGCATTTTCGTCGCAATACGAATCACAGAGGGACTCTCAAAAGATCCAATCACGGGCTACTTTATTTAAAAAAACATTTAGTTTCGTTGCAGCGTCGAAATAGTTTTATTTGCCACGCGACGAGCAACGTGGACCTGGCAAACTGGTATTTCCAGAATATTTTGCTGGACGACCAAACAAAATCAAACACAATATTTATAAAGACCAGCGTACAAACATGCATATAAGCAATGGGGGCAGAATTTAATTTGAAATAAATTCTGTGTAAATAACTTTTATATCATAAAATTATTTACTCTTTACAAATGAGTCTCGAGGAGTAAAACGAGACGTCTTCTGTTTATATCGAAAAATTTTAAATATGCAATAGGCAACGGGACACAAGACCATTTTATAGTGAGCTTGGTCACGGTCAGGATTCCTGAGGGCAACGAAAGTAGTTCGAGGTCCTGTGTCGAGGAATGTTCATCAAATAGACCTTTATCGTGAGAACCTTGCCCATTGATTGCGAGGGAAGCATGCAAAGCGTACCGAGTCAAAGAAGATATAAATAAAGAATTATGGAAATTATTCCATTACAGGGAACATAACTTGATTCGTCGTGTCGAGGAGTTTTAAACGCAGTTCTAGTTACATTCTTAATGGTTTTATTCCTGTCTCAATGAAGCCGGATTTACAAAGTTTCGAGCAGGGTTGAAACTATTAGAATAATATCAAGTAAGAAAACATACTCGTGAATTTTCGAAAATAGCGGCCAACGAATGAAATTCCTTTCCCTACCGAGCTTTTTAAATATTCCAAGCAACGTCATCTATTATTCGAACAAAATTCTGCCCAACTTTTGCTACCTTACTGCCAGACTCTTTTCAGCGTGCCTGTGGAAATTTATTGACACGCTGGGACTAGCATTACTTCTGCATTCTTGGTAAAAATTTATGCAAATGTTAAAATAATCTGAGATAGTGAAAACCTTGCAATTCCTTATTCTCGAAAGTAAACGTCGAGGAAATTAATTTCAGCTTTCCTCTCGTTGATCCAAAAGGTCTATGTTATCCGAATTTTAATCGAAACTTCAATATTATCTCAGTATTCTTGAACTTTTATATGGTTTGGAGTATTTTTTGTTATGAGAAATTGGTGCTAATATTAGGATTCTGAATTACTAACTGCGACGTTTCTCTGTATCTGATGGTACTCGGTTGACATTCCTCGATAAATGTCCCTGACAACCATACGTACATATCTCGCGACGACGTTTAGGTATCTTCCGTGATATCGCCGTGCCGCTTGTTTGCAATTTCCGCGACGTTCCGCCAATATTAAAATCATATCAACGATCTTGCTCTGTACATGCCATTCCAGCGATCTCGAAACTTGAATTTCGGGAAACAATAACAAACTCGACGATATTTCGTGTCGCGCGTAAACACGAAATACCACGTTTATTAAATTGAAATCGTCGTTCTCAATTTCACAGCGCTCAACTTCGGGGGAAGAAAATCACGTATATTTTTTAACGAGCTATAAATTTCAAATCAAAAGTTTAATCTACGCTGAAATAACGATATTCCGTGTACACTAAGTTCCACAAGGTTTCAAACAGTTCATAAAGAACATCTTATTTTCCTCGATAATGTGTTTTCTGAGTCTCAATTTTCCGATTGTGCGAGGCTCGCTCGAGACTGGCTCATGCTTCGTAAAATCTTGTTAGCCCTGAGATTTTTTTTTTCACGCAACAAAAACGCGATCGATTTCACCCTGCCTTCCCCTATAATCATCCCCCTGTGCACCGTAGTGTCCGTTTCGAGGGGCGCAGATGCGCAGGGACCGCGTTTTATCAGCGAAACGAAAGAAATAAAGGACCGACTAATTGAAATAATGGCTCGTTATCGGGACTTATAATATTTTTCAGGAACGGAGGTCGCATCGTTCGCACAAGGACAGCTCTACAGCGCACTAGGGGCGATCGATGCAGCAACCGGCACAACCAGCCACCCCCAGATCGTACTTCCCTGCCTCTTCTCCTCTGTCTCTCCTCCCTTGCTCGTGGCATCTCTGTATCTCTGTTGCACATCGTGCTACTTTCCCTCCATTTTCATCCCGCCACCCTGTTTTCTATTTTTCTTTTGACTTGCCCGCCTCGCTACCAGCATCCTTTCCCTTCTGACCTCCGGAACGACGCTTTAAATTGTAAGCGTTTCGTGCACGGGGTGGGGCAACCACTCCGCTTTGTGTCTCCTTCACCGTCGGCTCATTGAAAATGTTGTAATTGCAAAGAACACGACGCGTTAATGTTTCAAGATCGCCGCCGTTTCTTGGTAATGACACCTTCGACCCTCTGTTCCGCTATACGCGATCTTCGAGAGCAAATATGATATAAATAAACAAAAATACACCGTCGGGGAAAGGAAAACATTAATTGCGTTCGTCTCCAAATAAATATTTTTCTTGGGGTAGGAAAAGACGATGTCAATAATTATCGAACAGTTACAGGAACCGATGTGATATGAATTAAACCAGAACCAATACGTCCGTAACAGTCGTAATGTTTATTTCGATGCTATAGCCGTTTTCAACCCCTGTGCACGACTAAGGGCTCGACCGTCGCGTCGCAGTTTTTTCATTCGTCTACTTATTTACGAATTTCTGGGGGCTATATCGGTACGGGAGTTTTTATTTCGCGTTTCTGGTATGACAGTGATACCCGGACGACATCCCTTTGATATTTCTGCCAACGAGAGCGTCTAATGCGAGTCTCGCTCGCTGTCATTCTGTTTCGCTCGCCCCCGTTGCATTCCGTTCGCGTTCCTCGTTCGACGGTTTACGTGTGGCTGGGTCTCAGCTTGAGATAAAAATTGCTATTTAACCAGCTTTTAAACGATTCGGTGATTAGACCCGTTGCAAATTTCATTCGCCAACAACGGACACGAATTTTTAGAGTCTTTCGTAAATTAGATTTTTGTTCGCCGCTACGTCCATATTGGGTTTCAAAAAATTTGTTCGCCCGTAGACGAGACGTTAATTTTATTTGTCCGGCACTGTGTGCTTGCGAAGCAATTTTTTCATATAAATACTTTTAACTTTAGTCAAAATATTTTCATATTTTTTGTAACACCATAAGACCCTGTTTGATGGGTGAAAAAACATAGTCAGAGACGGGAAAAATTTTTATCTAAGTAAGCATTTCAAATAAAAAAATTATTATAGGAATCTGAAGGAAACGTCGAGCTATAAATACACGTTGGATATAATTTGAATAATTGAAAAGGAAAGTTTAGAAATACCCTACGTATTTAACGACAAAAACGAAGCAGCTTATTAGTGGCTCCGCTGATGGTCACATCTAAAAGATTGCTGTCGCAGATTGGGTCATGCCTCGACAGATTGGCTTGAAAGAGAAGACTGTCGCCACTAATTGCCTACTCGATCGATTACACGAAAGAAATGCATGGTTATAACTGCTGTGCAACGATGAGTTGGTCATCGGGTCTGATTGGTAGCATAATCTCCTTCCTATAAACCCGAGAAGGCTAAACCTATAAGAAGTGGATCATACTATAAATAAACAGGCTAACCACCTTATCTTTGGACAGTGCGCGTACCCAATAATCGAACTCGGTTAATTAAAATTTTTTCTATTTTTAAATACATCACTGATTTATTCAAATCACGTAATAATATTCGAATGACAGTACTAGAATAACATTCGAACATCCATCGAACAGTCCCATCGCAATTTTAATCTCATCTCGTGCGGAAAACGCCGAAAGGCGTTCACGCAAATGTGATAGCGGGATTTCCGCGCACAACGCCGCGCCGAGAATCGAAAAAAAACCTATCAACGGGGAGCTTAATTCCGTTTAATACGTTGTTTGTTTTCACGTGTAACTTCGCGTTTATTCGCGTCGGTTTTTTATCTTTTGATCCTTTGTCTCGTCCACTCCTACGCATCTCGCACGCACCATTTCTGCTCCAATAATCCCGTATCGCGTCTCAAGCGCTTCTTTATCTATCCTTCCCCGGGGTCTTCTTGCGCCATTTTCCTCTCAGCCTACTGCATTTCACTCACGCTTCCTGTTTTCTCGCTACTCGATTTAACCTATTTTCTTTTTCTGTGATATTTTATGCGATGAACGCATTTTCTTCCCTTCCACGGCATGTAATGCCATTTTCTCGACGCGTTTCAGCCTTCCCTCGCTTCT